CCATGTCAGCGATAGAAACTAACAGTTTTAGTCCACTAGTCCTTATGATACCTTAACTATTAGGCAGTTTGGCAAGGACTACGGGACTAGTGCCAATTTCTAACACTGTATAGTCCTTATACTGAATACACATAGCAAAACACTTAAAAAGGGCAAATGTCTACTGTCCTTATGATACCTATTGGGCAGTGTGGCAAGGACTATAGGACTTGTCTAAGGCTGCGTGTGTTCATAAAGCAGTGATGTAAATGAAATTATCTTAACTCAAAGTGTTTGTTTAGATATATATAACAAGCGAACACAAGTACATGAAGTGTTTTTGTACACCAAAGTTCTTGTATTTAAGAGTATGTGTATAGGTAACAGTGAAGTCAGTCTAGGAGTTAAAAGGTAGAAAAATGATTTCTTATTCTTATTCTTATTTCAATCACAATTCAACTCAGAATGCTGATATTGGGCTATTAATGAATTGTATACTCATTGGTATTTGATTGTTGTGTCTATGTGTTGAACAGCTGTATAAACCATAGTAGAAACCAATATCCGTTTAGTAGAAACAGCCTAGGAAACGAACACTACCTCACTTATTAATGAAGTGTAAACTATATCTATGTAGGGCTACTGAAAACTAACCCATGCCTGCTAGCTCACATTTACAGAAACACATTTGTGCAAATGGAGGGTAAACTGTAGTAGTCTACTGAAAAGGGCCTAGTAAAGAAAAAATGTTAATAAGACAAAAAGCCAAATAACCTACATTTTGGACAGGAAAACGAATCACTAAGAGTTTGAGGAATGACAAGTTCTTGTGGAATTTCTAGCGTTAGAAATTGGCACTAGTCCTGTTGTCCTTCCCAAACTGCCCAATAGTAAAGGTTTCATACGGACTAGTAGAAATTTGCCATATTTAGGAGTTTTGCTATATGTTATCATTATAAGGACTAGTGGACTGACACTGATGAGAATGTTCTCGACCTGGGTACCATCTACATGTGCCTGGGGTACAAATAGATCTATCGAAATGTACCCTGAATGTATTGTTAAATGTTTTGGATCAAGCGTATCTCTTTTGGTATCCCCTCATCAGTCCCAATATAATCGATGGTATCCAGGTGGAGAACGACTCCATCAGCCTGAAGTCGAGTAGATATCGCTAGATAAAATTAAAAAAACACACGAATGTGTTTAGATCCAAAGGGCTGAAAAATCGGCCTCCTCAATTAACGTGGAAAAGATCTGAACACTGGACAAGTGATCATCTTTGATGGCAGTATGTTCTGGAAGTTTCTTCTTTTTTCCATTGGCTAGATGTAGGCCTACTTCAGACTTAATTTAGTAAATAAGTCATAAAAGAAGGAATAAAGTCAAACTAACTTATTCAGAAGTAATGACATACCTTGGGCGTAGGAGCTCATAGTGTACACAGACGAAAATGAGCGAAATACGAGGAAAATGGCAGCAAAACAGTAGCAAGATGATAGCAGTTTGATGATAACAATGGCGATATCAGTAGTGAAGTGTCGTCATGGCGACGTCATAAATCTCGCGAGACTGTCATAGTATCACGTGACGTGACAGCTTGACTGGTTTTCTTTTTGCTCTACGCAAGTCAGGATCCCAGTAATGTTTTCAGTTGTTGGGTGGTTCAAAACGAGTGAGTTCACACTGAGCAGCGTTAGAAATTGGCTCTAGTAGGTTAGTCCTTGCCAGACTGGGACCCAGTTGTTAAAGTATCATTATTACAAGTAGAAAAGCGCCCTTTTAAAGGGCTTTGCTATATGTTACCTTTACAAGCGCACGGATGCTGCTTTGATAGGGTAAACAGAGCAGGAACGTGCCATTTTCTATTCATGACTTCGTTCAAGGTAGGGCTCTTTTCCAGAACATTAATCATAAACCATTGATAAATTGTAACATTTTGGTAAAACTTTGTATACTCACCAGACAAATGCTGAACCGGTCCCTTTTTGCTATTCAGTAATGTCTTGTTTTTTTCAGTTTTAGTACTTCGCTGGCACAAATTGCAAGGCTGTTCAACTTTCTGTATTAAGGAGGATATTTGCATATAGTGAATTTTGTGTCTACACCAAACAAGTAAGGAGTCTGTTACTGTTTGGGTAACGGGGCGAGGAAAACTTTAGACATAATTAGGGCTGGGACGGGTAACTCGGGTACTCGCGTCGGGTGGGTACTGTGTAGGAACCGGGTACTCACAGAACTACCCGGACCCGTGGCTAGTCACGTGATATATTGTTTAATGGCAAAATTATCTAGAACTCCATGGTTACGCTACTACTCACAAATGTGCACATTTCTTTCTGACTAGCCACGCATTCCTTCTGACTTTATGTGTTTGAATAAAGATAAAACTTCCGTCAACCTCAGTGTGTGCATGTGAAGTTCGTTTTATACGAGTATCTAAATACGGTCAAACTATTCCCAATCGGACATTTGGACCTATCTCGCGAGACCTACAGCGGATACCGTGGTAGGGTCGGGTAACAGGGGTGTGTGTACCCGGGGAGTAAATTTGGACTTGTCCCAGCCCTAGTCATAATTGATGCAACTTTGTTCTGATGGTTATAGTCGTATTTCATTATTTGTGTTAGTAATTAAGGGGAGATAATCCAGTTGACCTTGATTACCGATGATATGATGGTGTACCGTAGACTGGTTCCACTGCTGCTACACCTGATGAAGGAGAAAGTATATACCCCGAAACGTTGTGTTCCTCATAATAAAGTAGTTGACATCCATATATTCTCTTCCTCATCCAATTGTGTCAAAAACTAGATGAAACTCGTAAATATCCCGGTGAGAATAGGTCTTCAGCAACCTATGCTTGTCGTAAGATGAATATGCTTGTCGCTGACGGATCGGGTGGTCAGGCTCGTTGACTTGGTTGATGCTCATGATATCCATCACTGGATTGTCTGGTCAAGACTCGATTATTTACAAACCGCCGTCGTATATAGTTGGAGTATTGCAGAGTACAAAAAATAGGTGAAGACACTCACTCAAAGAAACGGACATATTAAGCCAATGACGCTGATTTTATTAATTGTTCTGTAGATTGTATTATCATGGTTACTACATGTATTATGGTATTTTCAGATTTAAGTAACAATTTTGTTGTCGCTTGTCAGTTCTCTTGTTTCAAGTTCAACTTGCAGGTTGATACAATTGTATGAATGTCAGAAACTGACTGTAGATTTACCATTTTCACTACTAGTACTTGTTTCTAACGTAACTGTTCCATTTTGTTGAGGAACTTCATCCTTGTGTGCCAATTTTAATGGATATTCAGGGGAATGTATTTGTTGTACTTTAATGATAATGTATCATATTTCTCTGGTAGCAACAAAACATTAACGTCAGGTAAGCACATGTGTCACGGGTGTTGGTTTATTACGGTGGTTATTATTTAGCTTCAAATGTGTTGCAAGGTATTTATGAAGAATGTTTGTAGCATTTATTTTGAAGAAAACAGTCTTGTATCTGTTAGTTTTCATTTCACTACATATTCTGGAGCCACACAATGTATTGCCATAATGTTTTAGTGTTTTGTGACGGCGCCGTGGACAATACTATAACACGGTATTATTACAGTGTAAAATTTCAATAATAAGACCATTTTTTTAGTTGTTTTTTTTCCCCGCCACGAATAGGAATAGGTGCTGTCTGTCCCGTTCATAAAAAAATGTTCAAAATGCGTTTTGTTCACTTTGAAAAGATAAGTTTGATGTGGCGAGTAGTTTTGTAACTTTGTTTCGTATCTGACGGTTATAGTTGTATTTTTTAAGGGAGATAATCCCGTTGGCCTTTACCAAAGATGGTGTACCGATGAGAGTTACTTCCCTTGGGGAGAAACGATGCAAGCTCCTTCCCAGCGCGTGACACCTTCGTTACACTCTCGGTAACATCGCTGCCACCAGTGTGGGCGCGGCCATTTCAAGAATCTTGAAATTTGCCCTCCAACCCCATATGTAGTAATGTTTATACTTTTGTTTATGTCTTTGGGAAGGCCATCATATTTCAATTTGAAAAGGTTTACGACTGACCATATTTTCCAAATGAATTTACTTTGTTGTTTTGGTAATCAGATTGGTTCGAGATTGCAGACTAACGGAAAATCAACCAATTTCTCCCTTACATTCTTACTATATCAATAACACGATAGTTTTAATGAAACAGAAATTCAAATTGACAAACGAAGAAAGTATTTTAGCAGCGATAAGTGTATTCGGCGTCACGACAGTCGTCACTTGTTTGTAAACATAACGGTCATTCGGTTGCGAGTTCAACTCCAAGCATGGTTGTGGCCACCTATTCACAGTGGGGAGTTTTGACTGGTGGCAGCGATAGTATAGAGAGCTCCGGGAACGTACTATCGCTGTGAGGAGCATGGAAACGATGGTGTCGAACAATGTAGTTGTCTTGATTCTCCCCGTGCAATATTGGTGATAAATAGCGCCCTAATACGGGTACATGGCACATACGCCACAGTAACTTTAACCAGTTTGTTATATTGTGACTTTCCACCGATTTAGGCGGTATTTTACATATATTAATGACGAATCTGATTAACTTACTTAAGAGTGAAGTCCGAAATGAAAGGACTGTTTTTATTATTTTTCTGACATTCTGTGTCCTGAAAACAATAATGTCCTCGGGTTTTAGAACACTTGCCGTGCTGGATGTTCTGACAAAATAATCCTATATTATCACTGGTTAAAGAATGTTAGGTACCTTCTTTCCACTGGTATTTAGTTACATTCACCAAGGATACAACACGTCCAAATGTTCGTCGCCTTTGGCGTGTCAGAATCCTATGACCATAGGTTCGAATCCAGTGGGTTTCACTTAAACTGTAAGCGCTCAAGACCTGCATTCCACACTTTGCAAACGCAGCTTTAGACCCAATTCACTCACTCACTCAAGTGATAATAACACCATAAGAATTTGAACAGGAATACAAAGAAGCACACAACAGATTAACATTCACAGCAGAATTTTATTAAACGTTTCACTGATACGTGTTTATAACAGGCGCGATACACATCAGATGGGGACGAAGGCTTCTCAGTGATACACCACTAGCGAGTGGAGGGGTTGGCTTCGGATCTTCCTGTGAACAGACGGCAAAAATATATGTACAAAGTTAACTGTGATACAATAATGAGCCGACAACATTTGACAAAGTATTTTGTGACGAAATTCCTTATCTGTAATCTGTGTTTCACCTGTTGTATAATCACTCGAGGTCATCCGATCTCTCTGAGCAAACTGGAAATGAATCAGCGACATTATCAATATTATCTATTTAACGCAGCGTTTGGTTTGACACATGTCTGATCCAATATTGATACACTAACTGACATGTTATGACGTTTTACACGAATTTGCATATCGTAACGTAAAAACTGGTCTCAAGTTTGGCTGCCAATTCAGTGGCGATTCAAATGGAATCTTGTAGAAATAAAACTGGGAACCTGAGTTACTAACCCCACTTGGAGATTGCTGGGTAGAATAATCTCCCCACTCGACCGTGCTTCGACCGTGTGGGTCGTTGCTAATGCAGTCAACCACTGGTTTCCCTGGTCCAGACTCGATACTTTACAGACTGCTTTGATATAGCTGAAATATTACTGAAGAACATTCACTCACTCACACACTTACGTATATTCAAAGACAGACTACAGTATAGGCTAGTCCCTAGAGTCGATGAAAGCGCCTCCTGCTTCGTACAGTTACATAGGACATCAAGGAACTCTAGGACATAGGACCAACTACTCTAGCATTATTTCGAATATGCAAAGGGGCAGGGTGGCCAAGGGATGTTTGGTATCTGTGTAATTGCGTCCGTCACTGTACCAGGACCCAATGATCGTGGGTTCGAATCTTGGATTCTCCTTGGTATTGACCCCTGCTCTGTCAGCACCCGACCCGTGCTAGTGGTATCCGCCTGTGACCTGGGTCAAAGCCTCGTTAAACCAAACTTACTCACTCACTCTCGGTTATGAAACGTAGGCTCCCAATGGGTGGTCTCTAAATCATGATTGTCATTTCTGTACGATTTTAATCAAATCCAGTGTTCAGCAGTACCAGGACAGAACTAATCTGGGATCTAATTTGGGTCATATGACTTCGTTAGGGAGGGTGGGGTACAGACTCCAGGGACTGTATGCACAAATTGATCTTAGTGGTACAAGTATTGAGGGTGCCATTGCTCACCCCTGAATCTCGACTACTTACCGCAACACTCAAAAGCATTGAGAAAAGGGTGCAATTAAACTTCAATCACAGAAAAAAATATAAAATATAAAGGTTTTTGTAACCTACACCTTTATTTTAGAGATGTTGAATCTGCGTATCAAATACGATTTTCTTTTGCGTCCCGCGTACCACACTGCTGAATACCCTCTAAATAGACCCCGAATCCCGCGTACCAACAGGGTACCTGGCACCCTTAGTATTGTAAGTCTATGTTATATGCTATAGCAAATATGTTGAGAGAGATGCAAAGAATCGAGTCAGAATCTGTAACTATCTGTTGTGATGAGTCCACACGAACAACTGATGATGCTATAAACGTTATATGCAGTTTCTGCACATACCACGCGTTGCTTGTTTGATTTTCAAGATCGTGTGTTATTTAACAAAAGACAAAACAAAGGGGCTAAAAACAAAAGACAATCTTTAATAGTTAATATTGATTGGTAATCGATTTAATCAAATAAAATAGACGTTAATACCTTGTCCGAAAGTGCCTAAATGTGTAAATCAAACTATACGTCTTTGAACGTATAATACAAATAGCGTATATTTCTGGGGGAAAAACAACCAAAAGCACAAAGTGTCCGAAAGGTCCGAAAAGTAGAAAAACGCCCGAAAGGTCCAAAAATGCCAAAAGCACAAAATATCTTGTATTTATGATTGAATGTAATTAATTATTATATGACACATCGTCAGAGAGGTAGCAAGATGTCACTCTAAGCGTCCATCTTGACACGGAATACTCTCCTCAAGAATCCAGACACACGTGACAGGAAGACTCGAACTGGGGACTGGGTAGGGGTGTCGTCATCATCGAGGTTGATTTCGACGAAGTGAGGGGCATCACGGAGGACGGGGGCAGAGAGGGGGACAGGGAGAGAGGTGGGAGGGGTGGGCAGCTCTGACAGGGGGTCAAGGATGTATCTCCCAGGACGACGCTGACAGGGAGGGAGCGAAGGACATGTAGATTTAAGTAGCAAGTACAGAAAGGTGAAGGTAGATGATGGAAATGGATTGCATTTACAGGATACTCATTATGCATAATGTCAGGAGAACGTTAGTGATAAAGATGTGTGTTTATTACTCCACATGTACATTAGTTTGCAAGTCAATAGAATGTGTGTTAGTTAAAGATTATATAGATAAGTCCATACACTCATCAAATACAAGACATAGTTTCAGTTTTAGAACAATTAGTAAATTAATAATTCCTAAGACACCCACTTGGCGAGGAGGGGCCCAGATGTCAAAGTTCAAGGGGAACCTGATCACGAGGTCAACAGCTGTGGAATAAGAAGGAATGAGAATCTTAAATAAGGATGAAGAAGAAAGAACCAACTGAACAGTATGTAAACGAGTTTTAAAAACATTCAGTTATTCTGTTGATCCATTGTCATCAAAGTCAAATAACATAACACTCTAAAAAGTGAAGAGCGATGATTACATCACTGGATGAAGTCTTAACACACACAGGGTATACATATTGTGGAAGATATAAGCTACTCTGTCAATGATGAGGTGGTGGAACAACATAAAATACACAAATCTCTGGAAGATAATATACAATAACTATATTATTAGGTAAACTGCTATGCGACACGTAGAGTTGCAAAACATTGTTAAAGATATATGTGAATACATAGGTATATGATGTGATTGCTTGCAACAGGTATTGCTAAAATCAGAAATATAATGTGTATTGGTGGAGACTGAACTAAACGTACTGGCCATGTCAGCGATAGAAACTAACAGTTTTAGTCCACTAGTCCTTATGATACCTTAACTATTAGGCAGTTTGGCAAGGACTACGGGACTAGTGCCAATTTCTAACACTGTATAGTCCTTATACTGAATACACATAGCAAAACACTTAAAAAGGGCAAATGTCTACTGTCCTTATGATACCTATTGGGCAGTGTGGCAAGGACTATAGGACTTGTCTAAGGCTGCGTGTGTTCATAAAGCAGTGATGTGAATGAAATTATCTTAACTCAAAGTGTTTGTTTAGATATATATAACAAGCGAACACAAGTACATGAAGTGTTTTTGTACACCAAAGTTCTTGTATTTAAGAGTATGTGTATAGGTAACAGTGAAGTCAGTCTAGGAGTTAAAAGGTAGAAAAATGATTTCTTATTCTTATTCTTATTTCAATCACAATTCAACTCAGAATGCTGATATTGGGCTATTAATGAATTGTATACTCATTGGTATTTGATTGTTGTGTCTATGTGTTGAACAGCTGTATAAACCATAGTAGAAACCAATATCCGTTTAGTAGAAACAGCCTAGGAAACGAACACTACCTCACTTATTAATGAAGTGTAAACTATATCTATGTAGGGCTACTGAAAACTAACCCATGCCTGCTAGCTCACATTTACAGAAACACATTTGTGCAAATGGAGGGTAAACTGTAGTAGTCTACTGAAAAGGGCCTAGTAAAGAAACTGTTAATAAGACAAAAAGCCAAATAACCTACATTTTGGACAGGAAAACGAATCACTAAGAGTTTGAGGAATGACAAGTTCTTCTTGTGGAATTTCTAGCGTTAGAAATTGGCACTAGTCCTGTTGTCCTTCCCAAACTGCCCAATAGTAAAGGTTTCATACGGACTAGTAGAAATTTGCCATATTTAGGAGTTTTGCTATATGTTATCATTATAAGGACTAGTGGACTGACACTGATGAGAATGTTCTCGACCTGGGTACCATCTACATGTGCCTGGGGTACAAATAGATCTATCGAAATGTAGCCTGAATGTATTGTTAAATGTTTTGGATCAAGCGTACCTCTTTCGGTATCCCCTCATCAGTCCCAATATAATCGATGGTATCCAGGTCGAGAACGACTCCATCAGCCTGAAGTCGAGTAGATATCGCTAGATAAAATTAAAAAAACACACGAATGTGTTTAGATCCAAAGGGCTGAAAAATCGGCCTCCTCAATTAACGTGGAAAAGATCTGAACACTGGACAAGTGATCATCTTTGATGGCAGTATGTTCTGGAAGTTTCTTCTTTTTTCCATTGGCTAGATGTAGGCCTACTTCAGACTTAATTCAGTAAATAAGTCATAAAAGAAGGAATAAAGTCAAACTAACTTATTCAGAAGTAATGACATACCTTGGGCGTAGGAGCTCATAGTGTACACAGACGAAAATGAGCGAAATACGAGGAAAATGGCAGCAAAACAGTAGCAAGATGATAGCAGTTTGATGATAACAATGGCGATATCAGTAGTGAAGTGTCGTCATGGCGACGTCATAAATCTCGCGAGACTGTCATAGTATCACGTGACGTGACAGCTTGACTGGTTTTCTTTTTGCTCTACGCAAGTCAGGATCCCAGTAATGTTTTCAGTTGTTGGGTGGTTCAAAACGAGTGAGTTCACACTGAGCAGCGTTAGAAATTGGCTCTAGTAGGTTAGTCCTTGCCAGACTGGGACCCAGTTGTTAAAGTATCATTATTACAAGTAGAAAAGCGCCCTTTTAAAGGGCTTTGCTATATGTTACCTTTATAAGGACTAGTGGACTAAACTGCATGTTTTATCACTGCTGCATGAGTTCTATAGATTGTATGCATATCAGACAAGCCAATAGCGACGACGCAGAACATCAAAATCTAGCAGCCAATAGGCTTCTGTATAAGGTATGATGTTAAAAATCTTTGGAATACAGGAAAATAAATAAATGAAACGGTCGTTGTGGACTTGACTGGACACACTCTTCAGAACTGTTAACTCTTGACCTTCATATAGAGGCTTTGGAAGTAAAGGAAAAGTTGAACTGGTTAAAGTTGAACTGGTTAAATAACAGCAATGGTCACCTTCCCAAGTAATTGTTAGCACAACGCTTATTGGAGAATTTATAGTCAGCCCCGGATGCTGCTTCGATAGGGCAAACAGAGCAGGAACGTGCCATTTTATATTCATGACTTCGTTCAAGTAGGGCTCTTTTCCAGAACATTAATCATAAAACATTGATAAATGGTGACATTTAGATAAAACTTTGTATACTCACCAGACAAATGCTGAACCGGTGCCTTTTGCTATTCAGTAATGTCTGGGTTTTTTCAGTTTTAGTACTTCGCTGGCACAAATTGCAAGGCTGTTCAACTTTCTGTATTAAGGAGGATATTTGCACACGAAGAAGGTATAGTGCATTTTGTGTCTACACCAAACAAGTAAGGAGCCTGTTACTGTTTGGGTAACGGGGCGAGGAGATGATATGATGGTTGTACCGTAAACTGGTTCTAATGCTGCTACACCTGATGAAGGAGAAAGTATATACCCCGAAACGTTGTGTTCCTCATAATAAAGTAGTTGACATCCATATATTCTCTTCCTCATCCAATTGTGTCAAAAACTAGATGAAACTCGTAAATATCCCGGTGAGAATAGGTCTTCAGCAACCTATGCTTGTCGTAAGATGAATATGCTTGTCGCTAACGGATCGGGTGGTCAGGCTCGTTGACTTGGTTGATGCTCATGATATCCATCACTGGATTGTCTGGTCAAGACTCGATTATTTACAAACCGCCGTCGTATATAGTTGGAATATTGCAGAGTGTTGCGTTAAACAACAAATAAACAAACAACAAATAGGTGAAGACACTCACTCAAAAATACGGACATACAATGTATTCAATCCAAGACTCTGATTTTATTAATTGTTCTGTAGTCATGGTTACTACATGTATTATGGTATTTTCAGATTTAAGTAACAATTTTGTTGTCGCGTTCTCTTGTTTCAAGTTCAACATGCAGGTTGATACAATTTTATGAATGTCAGAAATTGACTGTAGGTTTACCATTGTAAGTACTAGTACTTGTTTCTAAATGTAACAGTTCCATTTTGTTGAGGAACTTCATCCTTGTGTGTCCATTTTAAGGATATTCACGGGAATGTATTTGTTGTACTTTAATGATAATGCATCATATTTCTCTGGTAGCAACAAAACATTAACGTCAGGTAAGCACATGTGTCACGGGTGTTGGTTTATTACGGTGGTTATTATTTAGCTTCAAATGTGTTCAAGGTATTTATGATGAATGTTCGTAGCATTTATTTTGAAGAAAACAGTCTTGCATCTGTTAGTTTTCATTTCACTACATATTCTGGAGCCACACAATGTATTGCCATAATGTTTTAGTGTTTTGTGACGACGCCGTGGACAATACTATAACACGGTATTATTACAGTGTAAAATTTCAATAATAAGACCATTTGTTTAGTTGTTTTTATTCCCCGCCACGAATAGGAATAGGTGCTGTCCGTCCCGTTCATACAAAAATGTTTCAAAATGCGTTTTGTTCACTTTGAAAAGATAATGTTGATGTGGCGAGTAGTTTGGTTACAATTGCTGTAACTTTGTTCCGTATCAGACGGTTATAGTTGTATTTTTTAAGGGAGATAATCCCGTTGGCCTTTACCAAAGATGGTGTACCGATGAGAGTTACTTCCCTTGGGGAGAATAAACCATAGTGTCGAACAATGTAGTTGTCTTGATTCTCCCCGTGCAATATTGGTGATAAATAGCGCCCTAATACGGGTACATGGCACTGACACCACAGCAACTTTAACCAGTTTGTTTCACCATGACTTTCCACCGATTTAAGTGGTCTCTTATATGAATGACGAGTCTGATTAACTTACCGAAGAGTGTAGTCCAAAATGAAAGGACTGTCTTTATTATTTTTCTGACATTCTGTGCCTGAAAACAAATAATGTCCTCGGGTTTTAGAACACTTGCCGTGCTGGATGTTCTGACAAAATAATCCTATATTATCACTGGTTAAAGAATGTTAGGTACCTTCTTTTCACTGGTATTTAGTTACATTCACCAAGGATACAACACGTTCAAATGTTCGTCGCCTTTGGCGTGTCAGAATCCTATGACCATGGGTTCGAATCCAGTGGGTTTCACTTAAACTGTAAGCGCTCAAGACCTGCATTCCACACTTTGCAAACGCAGCTTTAGACCCAATTCACTCACTCACTCAAGTGATAATAACACCATAAGAATTTGAACAGGAATACAAAGAAGCACACAACAGATTAACATTCACAGCAGAATTTTATTAAACGTTTCACTGATACGTGTTTATAACAGGCGCGATACACATCAGATGGGGACGAAGGCTTCTCAGTGATACACCACTAGCGAGTGGAGGGGTTGGCTTCGGATCTTCCTGTGAACAGACGGCAAAAATATATGTACAAAGTTAACTGTGATACAATAATGAGCCGACAACATTTGACAAAGTATTTTGTGACGAAATTCCTTATCTGTAATCTGTGTTTCACCTGTTGTATAATCACTCGAGGTCATCCGATCTCTCTGAGCAGACTGGAAATGAATCAGCGACATTATCAATATTATCTATTTAACGCAGCGTTTGACACAGGACACATGTCTGATCCAATATTGATACACTAACTGACATGTTATGACGGTTTACATGAATTTGCATATCGTAAAGTAAATGGGGATTTCTTAAAAAAAATTCTGGTGATGATAAAACTGGTCTCAACTTTGGCTGCAAATTCAGCGGCGATTCATATGGAATAGTGTGCAGAAATAAAACTGTGAACCTGAGTTAATAACCCCACTTGGAGATTGCGGGGGAGAATAATCTCCCCACTGGACCGTGCTTCGACCGTGTGGGTCGTTGCTAATGCAGTCAACCACTGGTTTCCCTGGTCCAGACTCGATTACTTTACAGACTGCTTTGATATAGCTGAAATATTACTGAAGAACATTCACACACTCACACACTTACGTATATTCACGACAGACTACAGTATCGGCTAGTGACTTGATGTCCATCGTGATGATATTGAGACGAATGATGTCAGTGTCCATGTTGCTGATGAATGGACAAGTAACAATGTTCGTAAACACTTGTGCCAGTAGTTTTTCAGCTAAATGCTTGTAGGTATTTTCAACAAGACTGTTTCCCAAGAAAAAATTGTTTTCGACCTAGTGCCGGACCCAGGCCATTTATCATACACATGTAATAGGAAATACTTTAAGTGGGAAGGGGGCAAGGGATTGGCTTGCTCAATTTTTTTCTGATTATCAATGTAATAATTTGCAACTGACATTTACTGACCTATGCATAAATGCATTGATAATATCTGTATTTGATGTAGTTCCCAACTTTTTTGATACATAGATGCTTGTAATATGTGGTCATAAGAATTTTGCTATAAACAATGAGTGACTTTGCTAGTTAGACAAAGTAGGCATGTGGATCCATCCATGTTACTGTCAATAGGAATGCATGTAATTAAAACAAAAAGACTAATTTTCTTGTATTATTTATTCATATATCTTAGCACTTAAAATAGCCATGAACATAATCTACCACCACAGGTTAGGGTGGAAAGATAGATATGCTATAGCAATCGCAATAACTGATCATAGTATTTGATGATTGTTAGGACAATTTCCGTCTTAGCGCAAACGGGCATACCTAAAACCATTGTCAACTCGTTGCGTAATGGTTCACATATATTTCCCCATATATTATATATATTTCAGATGCAATTTAAAGCACATCGGGACGTGCGGAATTATACGGTGTGATTGAACACACTTAATTGTGTCTTGGGTATATTTTTAGACGCAGGACATATGTAAAATCAAAAATTATTTCTGAGGGATTCTTTGATGAAGAACTAGAAATCATACGCGCATTCTGATTGGTTTGTCGTATTTTCGCACATAACATTCATCGATAGGGGGACGAGTCTTCTTGCAGGTTACGGAAAGGGGCGAGTGGTGACGAATGAGACAATAGCATGAACACGTTAAGCCATCCGGAGTTATCTCCCACTCCCTACATTGAGTGTACATAAAGACATAACATTATGAAAGCATTCCCCTGTTATTTATTGCTTGGCGACGAACATGGCGTCTGAAAAAAACAGAAACCGTTACTAAGGCATGGGCTCATGTAGATCTACATCCCTTACCAAAATGGCGGAAGGTGTCCGTATACTGAATTACTTCCAAAAGGCTGAGGGGCGGTCGGGTAGCCTAGTGGTTAAAGCGTTCGCTCGTCAAGCCGAAGACCCGGGTTCGATATCCGACATGGGTGACAATGTGTGAAGCCCATTTCTGGTGTCCCTGCCGTGATATTGCTGGAATATTGCTAAAAGCGGCGTAAAACCATACTCACTCACTCACTCACTCACTCGAAAAGGCTGAACAATCGGTCTCCATTTACGTGGAAAAGATCTTAACAGTGGACAAGTGATCATCTTTGATGGCAGTATTTTCTGGAAGTTTCTTCTTTTTCCATCAGCTAGATCTAGGCTTACTTCAGATCCAATTAAGTAAATAAGTCATAAAAGAAAGGGGGAAAAAAGCCAAATTAACTCATTCTGAAGTAAAGACATACCTTGGGCGTAGGAGTTCATGGTATTCTCAGACAAAGATGAGCAAAACACGAGGCAAACAGCAGCAAAATATTAGCAAGATGATAGAAATATGATGATCACAACAATGGCGATATCAGTAGTGAAGTGTCGTCATGGCGACGTCATAAATCTCGCGAGACTGTCGTAGTATCACGTGACGTGACAGCTTGAAAAAGGTTTAAGTTATGAATGTTTAAAAGTTGGAACACAGCAAAACAAATAGTCGAAACAGTCCTTTTGGACTTCATTGGATACATTTTTCAGAACTGTAATAACACTCGACCTCCATGTAAGAGGCTGAGATCGCGTTGTACAACTGCACTCTGGTCTCAAAATATAATATATAATGGTTTGTCCAAAACTCGAGATGAATTTGGCTGTCATTCATTCATGAATTTTAGCTCAGTTATCCTGGGGCGGTGGTGTAGCCTAGTGGTTAAAGCGTTCGCTCGTTACGCTGAAGACCCGGGTTCGATCCGCCACATTTCTGGTGTCCCCCTGACGTGATATTGCTGGAATATTGCTAAAAGCGGTGTAAAACCATACTCACTCACTTTTTGTATTATATGTAGTCGGTAACGGATATTGATAGTTACTGTTTGTGTTGTTTAACACCGCACTGGGCCATATTCGCAGGTAAAAGACAGAAGCCTGTCAATAGGAAGTGTTCATCATTCATCATGTTTAATGGAACAGTTTGTCTTCTTGTAGGGATGCTGAGTGCATGGTATCTCAGTGGGCACGCTCTTTAAAATCGGCATTAGTCTGATCCTGTACAATCGAACACACACACACACACACACACACACACACACACACACACACACACACACACACGTGCATTTACGTCGCTATGTAGGTGCAATAATATTTGACGCAACGTTAAACCCTTTTCACCTCACCTCACTTCCTAGATGTACAAAAGTTGACCTCCCAAACAATGAAATTCCTAAAACTGCTGCTACATATATTGTTCCACTCCTTGAAGCCATGGAAGTGTCATGCATGGATCGAAAAGTTGATGTGGCAGAGAAATCAAAGATGACTGAGCACAAATCAATATTTTCAGTTGGAGGTACAGCTGCTCATGTTGTTCTGTGATGGTAACAGGTCAGACGCGAAAGCTTCTGATGCCTTGGGCAGGTCCCTGCTACATTGTGGAGAATCTATCTGAAGTACATGTTAATCTAAGTAGAAAGTTTGATGGCCATCTCTTTCACAACAGGGTCCATCAACAGACTTGAACTTGGATATCTGAGAAAGTGGAACATCATGAGTTAGAACTATCCATAACTACATGTATCTGTTGTGATGTGTTAGGTGAGTCACAACAAGGTGCAACTCAGCAGACTTAAACATGGCTATCTGGGAGAGTGGAGCCTGACGACCCTACACCACCTGCAAATACTCACAACATTGAGCCACCTGTACTTGATGAGGATGAGGTGGCTGATCAAGTTCCCTCTACCAGTGACAAGTCTGCTGAAACTGAAGATCAAGACACTGTGCCAGACTTGTCTCAGAGTAACCAGGGGCGGTCGGATAGCCTAGTGGTTAAAAGGTTCGCTCGTCACGCTGAAGACCCGGGTTCGAATTCCGACATTGGTAAAATGTACAATGTGTGAATGTGTGAATGTGTGAAGCCCATTTCTGGTGTCCCCCCGCCGTGATATTACTGCAATATTGCTAATGAGTGAGTAAAACTCACTCACTCAGTACCCACACCATTGTGAGGATTCTCAGGAAAAAGTACTGTAACAAAATGTGGGTCTGTTTCAATGATGTCACCCCAACGTGTCAAAACTAGTTGAAGAGACTCACTCAAAGATACCGACAGATTCAAAGAGTCAGAGGCGCTTAGTTTATTATTGTTCTGTAGATTGTATTATTATGTTTACTACATACATTGTGGCATTTTCAGATTTGAAAACCACTAGATAACTGTTTTGTTCAATGTTCAATTCAATGTTAGTTGATCATTATCATGTTGATTTTGGGCTGAAGTTGATTGTCAGTGTAACGACAGACAGATAATGTGCATCCTTGCAAGTGACGGAGTTTAAATTGTTATGCTGAGGTACAAATGGCATTAACACCCTGTATGGTCAAGTTGATATTCTGAACCTGAATATCACAAACTGACACAGTATACCAGTATAAGGCTATACTTGTTACTGAGTGTAACAGATCCATTTTGTTTAGGAACTTCATCTTTGTGTTCCCATTATATGAATATTCACGGGAATGTATTTGTTGTACTATTACATCACATTTCTCAGGTACCAGCTATATTAAACTGTAATCCTAAACTATTTAATGTAAACACATGTGTCATGGGTGTTGTTCTATTATCATGGTTACAGTTATGGTTCAAATACGTGCAAGGTAATTTAATGAATGTTAACTGCCTTTATTGGGAAGAAAAAAACCAAATACCTTAGTTTCGACTTCACCACACATAATGGAGACACACAATGCACTGTAACAGCGCTGTGCACGGTGTTAATTACAACACGATATTATTACAGTATAAAATTTAAATCATAGCACAATTTTATTATTTGACTCATCTTTGTCTTTCTCTATAAACATTTTAAAAGTTTTTTGGGTTTTTAAAAAAAATGTTTAAGTTTCAAATGTGTTGCGAGAAGTTTCGTTACAACTGATGTAAATTTATCCTGACTCTTTGTTAGCTGTATTTCAACAGTTTTGGTGAGCAATTTAGGGAAAGGTCTAGGGGAGATGATCCCGTTGACTTTTACCGAAGATGACGTAACGATGAGAGTGACTTCCCTTGGGGAGACTGTAAGATGGTGTTGAACGATGTAGCTTGTCTTTATTCGTCTCGTAGAATATTGGTGATAAATAGCGGGTACATGGCACAAATGTCTTCTACCCCTTATATGAATGACCTACTCAAGAGTGTAGTACAAAACGAATGGCTGTTTAACGCCAGATTTTTATGCTCAGCATCACTATTTTCTTTTATCTCCATTCAAGTATAATAAATAGCCTCATTCATGACTGTAATTTGATTGGGCGGCTATTTTTAGCGTCGTGTTGTTCGAATGTGGTTTAAAACATAGCTGTATTTGAGAATGACAATGGGGTTGAAAAAAAAAATGTGTGCCCTGGAAAAGAATAATGTCCTCGGATTTTATAACAACGTGGGACATATTCTGAACAAATACCATCAAAAATAAACACCTGTAAAAGAAAGGTTCTTTACAACCATCACGTCTGTTCTATCATGTATAAGACCCGTGAAGATCCGGGGTAGAAAAGGTCTTCAGCAAACCATTCTTGCCGTAAAAGGCGACTATGCTTGGGATCGGGTGGTCAGGCTCGCTGACTTGGTTGAAGCATGTCATCGATCCCAATTACGTGGATCGATGCTCACGATATCAATCACTGGATTGTCTGGTTCAGACACGATTATTTACAGACCGCCGTCATATAGCTGAAATATATGAGTGCGGCGCAAAACAACAAACCAACCAACCATCATGTATACAGTATCGCTAAGGAGTAGGGAGGAATGTTAGGTACCTTCTTTCCACTGGTAATTAGTTACAAAACATCACGTCCAGATGTTCGGCACATTTGCCGTGTTCGATCCCAGATTCGCCAAGAGTACGTTTCTTGGTTTGTCAGTACCATACCCGTGCACGTGGGTTTAACTGATACTGTAAGCGTCCAAGACCTGCATTCCACACTAAGCTGTCAAACGCAGCGTTAGACCCAATTCACTCACTCACTCGAGTGATAATTACACCAAAGCTTTTTTACCAGCTTTAAAAAAGAACCACTGAACAGGTTAACATTCACAGAAGAATTTTATTACGTTTCACTGATACTTGTTTATAACAGGCGCGATACAGATGGAGACGAAGGCTGCTCAGTGAGACATCACTAGCGAGCGGAGAGGCAACCTTCAGATCGTCAACCTGTAAACAGACGGGAAATATGGAATAACCTTAACTGTGATACAATTTTGAGTAGACAGCATGTGAACAGACTGCTTGTCTGGTGTACTCTGAACAGACCTCCAGGATTTTAAGATGATATACTGAACTGACTTGATCGTAGAGACTTGCTGTGGAGGAGGGGCGGGGTATGTAAATGGGATAGATCGGGTTTCTTCATCATCATCATCGAATCTTGGTTTCTCCTTTGTTTTGTACCCGTGCTCTGTCAGCACCATACCCTTGGTAGTGGGGTTCAAGAAACGTCTGTAACCTGCGTCACTTTGACTTGCGCCTTACATGAAGCTGACAGCAGGGATATGACTGAACTACTATTCAAAGCAGCCTTAAACCCAACTTACTCACTCAGCCATGACACTTGAAAAGGAGGTTGGCTCCATAGGGATGGTCTCTATATCATGGTTGTCTTTGATGTACGCTTTTATTCCAATCCATTATTCGGCAGTACTAGGACTGACATAATATGGGATTGAATTTGGGTCATATGACTACCTCAGCAGAGTTTAGTACTGACTCCTGTGACTGTATGTACTATCTGATCTGTCTTACAAGTATTGTAAGTCTGTGTTATTGGGTAGAAGAAGAAAGTATTGTGAATGTAGACCCTGCTCTGTAATCAAATATGTTCGACATACCACTAATTGCTTTAATGTCTTTCAAGATGTCTGATTAAAGAAACAATAGTCGCGTGCTATGTAACAAAAGACAAAACAAAGAAGCTAGGAAATTAATGCAATCTTTAATAATTAATACTCATCTGCAATCGATTTAAATATTCTATAATACTTAAAGCATTAAAACCGAAAGAGCCAAAATGTTTAAAGGAAAACATACGTTTTTAAACGTATAATACAAATAGCTTGTATTTCTGAAAAAAATAAACACACCTAAGCACACAAAATGTCCGAAAGGTCCGAAAAGTAATAAAAAGGTCCTAAAGTAAAAACAAAGACGTCCGAAAGGTAAAAAAATGCCAAAAGCACAAAATATCTTGCGTTTATGATTAAAAGTAATGAATTAATTTTATGACATATCATCCAAGGGGTAGCAAGATGTCACTCTAAGCGTCCATCTTGACACGGAACACTCTCCTCAAGAATCCTGACACACGTGACAGGAAGACTCGAACTGGTGACTGGGTCGGGGTGTCGTCATCATCGAGGTTGATTTCGACGAAGTGGGGGGCATCACGGAGGACGGGGGTAGAGAGAGGGGCAGGGAGAGAGGTGGGAGGGGTGGGCAGCTCTGACAGGGGGTCAAGGATGGTCATGTATCTCCCAGGACGATGCTGACAGGGAGGAAGAAGACTTGTAGAGAGTGACAGAAGATGGAAGTAGAGAGAGGGGAGGGTAGATGTTGGAAATGGACATATTGTTGAATACTCATGATGTCAGAAGAACGTTAGTGAGTCAAAGATGAGTGGTTATTATTGCAAATATATATTAGATTGCAATTCAGTAGGATATGTGTTGATGTGTTGATTTGGATTATATGGTTAAGCCCATACACTCATCAAATACAAGACACAATTTCAGTTTTAGAACAACTTGTAAATTAGTTATTCCTAATGCCTAAGACACCTACTTGACGAGGAGGGGCCCAGATGTCAAAGTTCAAGGGGAACCTGATCACGAGGTCAACAGCTGTCAAGTAAGAAGAAATGGGAGTCTTAAATATGGATAAACAAGACAGGATAAACTGTACAGTACACAAACGAGTTTTAGAATGTTTACAGTTATTCTGTTGATCCATTGTCATCATAGTCAAATAATATTACAGTCTAAAAAGTGATCATCACTGGATGAAGTTTTAACACACACAGGATACACAGATTGTGGAAGATACAAGCTGCTCTGTCAATGATGAGGTGGTGGAACAACATAAAATACACAAATCTTTGGAAGATATATACATCACTATATTATTAGGTAAACTGCTATGGGACATGTAGAGTTGCAAAAACATTGTTAAAGATATATGACATGTGAATACATAGGTATATGAAGCGATTGCTTGCAACAGGTATTGCTAAAATCAGAAATATAATGTGTATTGGTGTAGACTGGACTAAAAGTACTGGCACGTCATCGATAGAAATTAAGAGTTTTAGTCCACTACAGTATTCATAATGAATACATATAGCAAAACCCTTAAAAGGGCAAATTTCTACTGTCCTTATGATACCTATTGGGCAGTGTGGCAAGGACTGAAGGACTAGTCTAAGGCTGCATGTGTTCACAAAGCAGTGATAGAAATGTTATTGTCTTAACTGAAAGTGTTTGTTTAGATATATATATAACAAGCGAACACAAGTACATGAAGTGTTTTTGTACAGCAAAGTTCTTGTATTTAAGAATATGTGTATAGGTAACAGTGTAGTCAGTCTAGAAGGTAATACTAAATAGGTAGAAAAATGATTTCTTATTCCTCAGAGAGTACACATTCCAATCACAATTCAACTCAGTGTGCTGATATTGGGCTATTAATGAATTGTATTATCATTGGTATTTGATTGTTGTGTCTACGTATTGAACAGCTCTATTAACCATAGTAGAAACCAACATCCGATTAGGAGAAACAGCCTTGGAAACCAACACTATCTCACTTGTTAATGACATGTTAACTATATCTATATAGGGCTACTAATAGCTGACCTATGCCTGCTGGCTAACATTTACAGAAAATCTCATCAGTGCAAATGGAGGGTAAACTGTAGTAGCCTACTGAAAAGGGCCTAGTAAAGAAACTGTAAATAAGACAAAGAGGCATATAACCTACATTTTAGACAGGAAAACGAATCACTAAGAGTTTAAGAAATGACAAATGTGGGATTTCCAATATTTAATTACATTACCAAAACAAGAAAGATAATCAGTGAATCCCAAACTTGACCAATGGAATATTCGCCTCCTAAAACGTTTTTAGCCTCACACCATCAGCTCTGACAGTGGCGTTAGGGACACTGATGAGACTGTTCTCGACCTGGGTACCATCGGTATGTGCCTGGGGTACAATTAGATCTATCGGAATGTACCCTGAATGTATTATTAATATATTTTTGTATCCAGCGTATTTCTTTTGGTATCCCCTAATCGGGCCCCATAAAGTCGATGGTACCCAGGTCGAGAACCACTCCATGAGCCTGGAAGTCGTTTAGATATCGCTAGATAAAATAATAAAACACGAATGTGTTTATTAACAGATTAAAGTGTTGAAAAATCGGCCTCAATTAACGTGAAAAGTATTTTAACACTGGACAAGTGATCATCTTTGATGGCAGTATGTTCTGGAAGTTTCTTCTTTTTTCCATCGGCTAGATCGAGGCCTACTTCAGATTCTAGTAAATAAGTCATAAAAGAAGGAATAAAGTCAAAATAACTTATTCAGAAGTAATGACAAACCTTGGGCGTAGGAGTTCATCGTGTACACAGACGAAGGAGGGCTAAATACCAGGCAAACAGCAGCAAAATGGTAGTAAGATGACAGCAATATGATTATCACAACAATGGCGATATCAGTAAAGAAGTGTCGTCATGGCGACGTCATAACTCTCGCGAGACTGGTATATTATCACGTGACGTTACAGCTTGTTGGGCACACTCCACAGTTAAGTTGATTGGCTGGTTTGTGTTTTACGCCGCACTCAGCAATATTCCAGCTATATGACGGCCAGACAATCCAGTGATTGGGATCATGAGCATCGATCCACGCAATTGGGATCAATGACATGCATCAACCAAGTCAGCGAGCCTGACCACCCGATCCCGTTAGTCGCCTTTTACGACAATCATAGTCACCTTTTACGGCAAGCATGCCACAATTAAGCCCCAGTAGTAATAAAGTATTTCAAATTACATAACTTCAAACATGTACTGGCATTAATCCATCATCTAATAGATAGATTATCTAAAAGTTGTAAAAACATATTTTAAAAATGTTTAATACATATATTTGTGAAATCTTTGTTATTTGTCAGGGCAAATCGGTACAACACGGGTGTAATCGTTTTTTTGTTTTTTTTATTTGGACTTCCGTTCGAATGTTGGAGACCAAATGGATCGTGCAGGTAAATGACCTCTATATTGATATTACAAATCATCAAACGGTGCCACAGGCTAATTTGCATATCACGTGAACAAACAAACGCGCTTTTTCAGAAATCAGTATAGAACGGACTAATGCAAGTATTTGTGGGCGCTTTATATAGTGTTTTGCATAATTATATAGATATGCTACTACATCTGCGACAGTGAGTTGCATGACAGTATATATTTATACATCAAAGTGACCGTATCGCTAGCTCTCCGCAGGGCTTCGATGACAGCACATGGAGCCGTACAAACAATGTAAACAAGGGTAAACTACGCAAGTAGATTTTCACGTTTTAGGATATTTTCCTAATGAAAGTTAACCATTCTATGACATTTGTTTCTGAAAATGGGAAAACCTGTCAAAAATGAAACGGATGAAAAGCATACGCAATATCTTGAATAGACTCTGTAAGATGTGAGAATCGCCACATGCATGGTGCTGGCCTGTGGCAGAGGTACTATGCTGGCTGGCTGCCGACCGCAAGGAACTCTGGGTAGGAGAGTGCTTGTTGGGTGGTTCAAAATGAGTTCACACTGAGCAACGTTGGCACTAGTCGGATAGCCCTTGCCACACTGGGACCAAATTGTTACAGTGTACCAGTAGAAATTTTGCCCTTTTAAAGGGCTTTGCTACATGTTACCTTTATAGTACTAGAGGACTAAAACTGTCAGTTTTTATCGCTGCTGGGTTGTATAGATTTTATGCATATCAGACAAGACAATAGCGACGACGCAGAGCATCAAAATCTAGCAGCCAATAGGCTTCTGTATAAGGTATGATTTTAAAATCTTTGGATTACAGGAAAATATATAAAGGAAGGGTCGTTGTGGTCTTCACTGGACACACTCTTCAGAACCGTTAATGCTCGACCTTCATATCGTGTCTGTGAAAGTTAAGGTGAACTGTAAACTAATAGTCAGTGTGTTTCGCAATCTGATTGGTCAGCCTACCTCGTCGATTATCATTCAATTCCCATAAATCTACATAAGCCTCTGGTTAAATCACAGAAATGGGCACATTGCCAAGTAATTGTTTGCAGGATGCTTATTGTTGGATTTGTAGTCCCGGATGCTGCGTTGAGAACAACCTAGGGAAGAGTCATTTTATATTAATGATATTTCTTACGCCATGGCAAAGAAAGTGGACATCGTTCAAGCACAGGACCAAATAACTAATAATAAAACAAACATACTCGGAGGTTTTTTTTGCGAATTTGGTCCTTATTATTATTAGTTACATGGTCCTGTACTTCAAGTTAGGGTTCTTTTCCAGAACATATATCATAAACCATTCATTAATGGTGTCAGTTTGGTAAAATTGTGTATCGTCACCAGACAAATGCTGAACCTGTGCCTTTTGCTGTTCAGTAATTTATAGTTCTTTTTCAGTTTTAGCGCTTCACTGGCACAAATTGAAAGACTATTCAACTTCCTGTATTGAGGAGGATTTGCACATGAAGAAGGTACACTCATTGCATTTTTTGTAACATCAAGTTTGGAGCCTGTTATTGTTTGGGTAATGTCGTGAGAGTGAGTGAGTGAATTGGGTTTAACGCCGCTTTTAACAGTATTCCAGTTATATCACGGCGTGTCAGCTTAATGTGGGAGGAAAGCCCGAAGTGATGCAGGTCTCAGGCGTTTACCACTTCGGTGAAACCCACGAGCACAGGTATGGTGCTGACAAACCTAGAAACATAATATGGGCGAACCGGGATTCGAACCAACAATCATAGGTGTCTGGCGTGCCAAAGGGACGCAACTCTGCACAGCAAATCACGGCGCTTTAGACGACTTGGCCACCCGTGCCCCCTAATGTGGTGAGAAAAAGTTTAGTTGTAATATTGATGTAACTTTGTTGTGATGTTTATACAGTCGTATATCAATATTTGTATTAGTTATTTAAGTGAGATAATTCCGTTGGCCTTTACCGACGATGATCGTGTACCGTAAACTGGTTCCACCCAGTCTAGGTGTTCCGACGGGAGTTACTTCCCTTGCGGAGACTGTAAAAATGATGCCCAAATCGCCTGTCTTGATACGTGTCTCAGGGTATACTATTGGTGATTATTTGTGCCCTAATACGTGCACGTGGCACCAACGCCACATGGTGGAAATGATATTCGTTCCCCTTTATATTTTGTTGCCAATATGAAGACCCCATCTACTGTGTTGCTAACGAATCAGACGCGAAAGCTTCTGAGGCTTTGGACAGGTCCCTACCATATTGTAGAGAAGCAATCTGAAGTGCATGTTAAAATGTGTGATGGACGTCTAGCCCACAGCAGGGTCCAAATCAACAGACTTAAACATGGCTATCTAAGAAGCTGAAGAAGCTGATGGACCCGTGAACATCCGAGGAAGAATAGGTCTTCAGCAACCCATGCTTGCTTTAAAAAGTGACGGTGCTTGTTGTAAGAGGCGACTAACAGGATCGGGTGGTCAGGTTCACTGACTAGGTTGATGCATGTCATCGTATCGATGTTCATGATTTCAATCACTTGATTGTCTGGTCAAGGCTCGATTATTTACAGACTGCCGTCATAAAGCTTGAATATTGCCGAGTGCGGCGTTAAACAACATACCAACCAACCAACCTAAGAAGCTGCTGACCCTACATCTCCTGCAGTTGCTGACAGTATTGGGCCATCTGCACCATAAAGTCCCCTCTATTGGGCCATCAAGTCCCCTCTACCATTGACAGATGTTCTGAAACTGAAGCAGAGACAATGCGCCAGACTTGTTGTCAGAGTAACCAGACCTACTGAATTGAGAGCACTCTCAGGAAAGAGTATTGTAAAAAGATATGGTATTATCCTCAGTATCCTGTGAAATGATTAGGGTAGATAAATCAAACATAATTCAAACTGAATCGGGTGGTCAGGCTCACTGACTTGGTTGATCCATGTCATCGTATCCCGATTGCGTGGATCGATCTTCATGATGTCAATCAGTTGATGGTCCGGTCAAGGCTCAATTATTTACAGACTGCCGTCACATAGCTGGAATATTGCTGAGTTCGGCGTTAAACAACAAACAAACAAACAAAAACTAGTTGAAGAGACTCACTCAAAGATACGGACATATTCCAAGAGTCAGTGATGTTGATTTTATTGATTGTTCTGTATATTGTATTTTCATGCTTACTACATGTTTTATGGTATTTTCAGATTTAAGTAACAATCTTGTTGTCGCATGTCAGTTCTCTTGTTTTACGTTCAAGTTGTAGTTTGATACAATTGTATGAATGTCAGAAACTGACTGTAGGTATACAAGCATAAGACTTTACCTTTTCTTAATGTAACAGATCCATTTTGTTGAGGAACTTCCTTCATCCTTGTGTACTCATTTTAAGATATTCACGGGAATGTATTTGTTGTACTATAATGATAATAATCATATTTCTCTAGTAGCAACAAAACGTTAAGGTCTACACCTTTTAATGTAAGCACATGTGTCACGTGTGTTGTTTTATTACGGTGGTTATAATTTAGTTCAAATATGTGTATTTATAATGAATGTTCATAGCATTTTGTTAAAAGAAAAAACAAGTCTTGCATATGTCAGTTTTCATTTCACCACAGATTAAGGTTTAATGTTTTGTAACGACGCCGTGCAAAAATACTACAACACCATATTATTACTATGTGAAATTTAAATAATACAATTTTAAAATTTGGCTGATTTTTGTCTCTCTTAAAACTTTTTACATGTTGCTTTTTCCTCAAAACAAAAATGTTTCAAAATATGTTTTGTTCGAGTGGTTTCACTTTGAAAAGATAAGGTTGATGTGGCGAGTAGTACAATTGCTGTAACTTTGTTCTGTATCTGATGGTTATAGTTGTATTTTTATAAGGGGGATAATCCCGTTGGCCTTTACTAAAGATGGTATACCGATGAGAGTTACATCCCTTGGGGAGAATAAACGATGGTGTCGAACAATGTAGTTCTTCTTGATTCTCCCTGTGCAATATTGGTAGTAAATAGCGCCCTAATACTGGTACATGGCACAAACGCCACACATGTGTCTTATGTTAATGACGAGTCTGATTAACTTACTGAAGAGTTTAGTCCGAAAAGAAGACTTTTTCTATTATTTTTCTGACATTCTGTGCCTTTGAAACAACTCAGGACATGCTGGATGTTCCGAAAAAATAATCCATTATAATCACTGGTTAAAGAATGATATACCCTACAACCACTACTACAGTTCCAGCATGTCTAAAGCATGATGAAGGGGTAGAGATGGATCTTGGATACCTTCTTTCCACTGGTAATTATTTACATAACACCAAGGATACAACACGTCCAGATGTTCGTCACCTTTGGCGTGTAAGAATTCCATGACCATGTGTTCGAATCCCGTGCACGTTGGTTTCAAAACAACTATAAGCGCTCAAGGCCTGCATTCCACACTTTGCAAACGGAAATACAGTAAAAAGCAGCGTTAGACCCAATTCACTAACTCACTCAAGTGATAATTACACCTAAACAATTTGAACAGAGCTACAATGAAGCACACAAGAGATTAACATTCACAGCAGAATTTTATTAAATGTATCATTTCTACATGTGTATAACAGGCGCGATACACATCAGATGGAGACGAAGGCTGCTACATAGCTAGCGAGTGGAGGGGTTGGCTTCGGATCTTCCTGTGAACAGACGGAAAAAAATATATGAACAGAGTTAACTGGGATGCAATATTTAGCAGACAGCATGTGGCACTGTATTTTGTGATAAAATACTTTATTTTTCTGAAATCGATGTTTCACCTCTTGTTTAATCATTCCTGCCTCTCTTCCTTAGGGCTTTGCCAAGAATAAACTATGTGTCGTGATTTGTCCTATACTTAAGTAATAACAAACCGTCTCCGCGAAACATACTTGAAACATGCCGATGATCTCTCTGAACAAACGGTCGACTTATAAGAAATAAATCAACGGCATTATCAATTTAACGCAGCGTTTGACACAGGACAAATGTCTAATCCAATATTGATACTCTAACTGACATGTTTTACGTTTTACATGAATTTGCATATCGTAAAGTAAATGTGGATTTCTTAAATGCTGTTCTGGTGATGATAAAACTGGTCTCAAGTTTTGCCGCCAATTCAGAGTCGATTCAAATGGAATAGTGTGGAAATAAAACTGGGACCCTGAGTTACTAACCCCACTTGGAGATTGCGGGGCGGAATAATCTCCCCACTCGACCGTGCTTCGACCGTGTGGGTCGTTGCTCATGCAGTCAATCACTGGTTTCCCTGGTCCAAACTCTATTACTTACAGACTGCTTTGATATAGCTGAAATATTACTGAAGAACATTCACTCACTCACACAGTTAAGTCTATTCAAAGAGAGACTACAGTATCTTGATGGCCGGAATATTTTTATAAACTCGTCCCTAGAGTCGATGAATGCGCCTCCAGCTTTGTACAGTCACATAGGACATCAAGGACTTCTAGGACATAGTACTATGACATTGTACCTGTTCCCCACTGGATTCGCCACATGCACTCATTCATATCAAATATCACCCTTTCGCAGGCAATGTAATGGATGCATAAATATATCTGCAATTAAGTCTTAATGAACTCACGTGAGTACTGTCGGCGTTGCCGAAACTGAAAGAATGGCTGTTCTGGTGACATGAGGATCTGTAATAAGTGCTCATGTCTAGCTCACTAAAAACCTCCTCCACACACTCCGAGTGTCTTCGAGTCCAATGTAAGAACTCTTGATACATATCAATGTGCAAAACTGGTACAATTAAATTACACTGGGATTGTCACATAGAATACATGACCATGAAGATCCGGGGTAGAATAGGTCTTCAGCAACCCATGCTTGCCGTCAAAGGCGACTGCTTGTCTGTCGTAAGAGGCGACTAACGGGGACGGGTGGTCAGGCTTGCTGACTTGGTTGATGCATGTCATCGATCCCAATTGCGTGGATCGATGCTCATGATGTCAATCACTGGATTGTCTGGTCCAGACTCGATTATTTACAGACCGCCGTCATATAGCTGGAATATTGCTGAGTGCGGCGTTAAACAACAAACAACAAACCAACAAAGTATATTCAAAGAGAGACTACAGTATCGGCCAGTATATTGATGTCCATCGTCGTGACAGGGCCGGAATGTTTCTAAATCTCGTCCGTTGAGGATGACTGCACCTCCAGCTTTGTACAGTAACATACATCTTCCCGAGGCAAGTGAGTTAACTAACTATAAAAGTCCAGTTTCCACCCTTGCCGAACTAGGCTGGTATTATGGAGTTAAATTTTGGCTGGACTAACGAGTCTATGCATAGTCCAATCAAAATCGCGCACCGAAATCGAAATCCGGTTCGTAAAGTGTCATGCAGATTTCGGTCGACTGCAGCATTTGCAAAGCATGTGCACCGCTAACTCGTTGTCAACAAATATTTTCTAAATCTTTTCATGTTTTTAATCAAGGTGCTTACGTGATTTGATGCACTTCGCGGTGTAAGACTCGTTTTATCACAATATAGATCTTGATTATCGATCAGATCGTCTTGACTGGGCGCCACCGTTTTGTTTGAAGCAAATGCAAGTGATACGAGAGGTTGAATCTGATTGGTCAGTAGGAGAGGCATAGAAAGGACATAACTCGTAATAGCCACTGTTGGCGCTACGATCGAGCCCAGGAATTTCAGCCTAGTTCGGCAAGGGTGGAAACTTGACTTTTAAAGTCAGTTAACTCCTTGCCTCGGGAAGATGAGTAACATAGGACATCAAGGAACTCTAGGACATAGGACCAACTACACCGACATTACATTTAAATTATGCAAGGAGGCGCGGGTGACCAAGGTATTGGAAGCTGTGCAGTCGCGTTGTTCACCGTACCTTGACCCCTATGACTGCGGGTTCGAATCTTGGATCTCAAATACGATTTAATTTGCGTCCCGCGTACAACACTGCTGAGTCCCGAAAATCCTCTAAATAGACCCCGAATCCCGCGTGCCAAAAGGGTACCTGGCACCCTTAGTATTGTAAGTCAATGTTAAATGTTACAGCAAATATGCTGAGAGGGATGCAAAGAATCGAGTCAGAATCTGTAACTATCTGTTGTCATGAGTCCACACGAACAACTGATGATTCTAAAAACGTTATATGCAGTTTCTGCACATACCACGCGTTGCTTGATTGATTTTCAAGATCGAGTGTTATCTAACAAAAGACAAAACAAAGGGGCTAAAAACAAAAGATAATCTTTAATAGTTAATATTGATTGGTAATCGATTTAATCAAATAAAATAGAAGTTGAAACCTTGTCCGAAAGTTCCTAAATGTGTAAATCAAACTATACGTCTTTAAACGTATAATACAAATAGCGTATATTTCTGGAGAAAAAAACAACCAAAAGCACAAAGTGACTGAAAAGTCCGAAAAATAGAAAAACGCCCGAAAGGTCGAAAAATGCCAAAAGCACAATATATCTTGTATTTATGATTGAATCAATGTATTATATGACACAGCGTCCAAGAGTTAGTAAGATGTCACTCTAAGCGTCCATTTTGACACGGAACACTCGGAAGGGCCAAAATGTGTAAATCAACATATAAGTATTTAAAGGTGTTATAAATACTAATATTGTACAATTTTTTAAAAAGCCAAAAGCACAAAATGTCCGAAAGGTCCGAAAAGTAAAACAAAACATTTCTGAAATCTCCAAAAATGCCAAAAGCACAAAATATCTTGTGTTTATGATTCAATATAATTAATTATTAGACACATCGTCCAAGAGGTAGCAAGATGTCACTCTAAGCGTCCATCTTGACACGTAACACTCTCCTCAAGAATCCAGACACACGTGACAGGAAGACTCGAACTGGGGACTGGGTCGGGGTGTCGTCATCATCGAGGTTGATTTCGACGAAGTGAGGGGCATCACGGAGGACGGGGGTAGAGAGAGGGGCAGGGAGAGAGGTGGGAGGGGTGGGCAGCTCTGACAGGGGGTCAAGGATGGTCATGTATCTCCCAGGACGACGCTGGCAGGAGGGGAAAGAAGGGCATGTAGAGAGTAATAGAAGATGGAAGTAGAAAGTAGAGAAAGATGAGGGTAGATGTTGGAAATGGACTGACTAAGGGATACTTATGATGCATGATGTCAGCGATTAAGATGTGCGGTTATTATCTCTCATATAAATTACTTTGCAAGTCAACAGTATGGATTATCTGGTTAAGCCCATACACTCATGAAGTACAAGACACACAATTTCAATTTTACAAAAACAAGAACAAAAGAAGAAGTCAATGATATGTGGTTACTATGGAACATATATATTGGTTTGCAAGTCAATAGCACATGTGTTGATGTGTTAGTTATAGATCATTATATGGCTAAGGCTATACACTAATGAAGTCCCAAGACACACAATTTCAGTTTTACAACAATTCTAGTAAAGTACTGATTCTTAAGACACCCACTTGGCGAGGAGGGGCCCAGATGTCAAAGTTCAAGGGGAACCTGATCACGAGGTCAACAGCTGTCAAGTAAGAAGGAATGAGAGTCTTAAATAAGGATAAACAAGATCTCGGTAGATACAAACTACTCTGTCAATAACAAGGTAGAATAAAATAAAACTACACACATCTTTGATTGACAATACACAATCATATTATAAGGTAAATTGCTTTGGGACACTTAGAATTGCAAGAGAATTATTCGAGACGTATGTAGTAGATGAAGGGACTGCTTACTACAGGTTGGGATAAAAGCAGAAATATAATGAGTATTGGTGTAGACTGGGCAGAATAGACTGTCAGTGATAGAAACTAACAGTTTTAGTTGACTAGAGTCCTTATAATGAATACATATAGCAAAACCCTTAAAAAGGGCAAATTTCTACTGTCCTTATCAGCGGTAGAAACGTACAGTTTTAGTCCACTAGTCCTTCTAATGATAACATATAGCAAAACCCTTAAAATGGGCCAATTTCTACTAGTCCTTAGGATACCTTTACTTTTGGGCAGTTTGGTAAGGACTACAGGACTAGTGCCAATTTCTAATGCTGACTACAGGACTGGTGCCAATTTCTAACGCTGCTTATGATACATATTGGGCAGTGTGGCAAGGACTATAGGACTAGTCTAAGGCTGTGTGTGTTGATAAAGCAGTGATATAAATGTGTTTGTTTAGATATATAGAAAAGCGAACACAAGTACATGAAGTCTTTTTGTTCACCAAAGTTCTTGTATTTAAGAGTATGTGTATACGTATAGGTAACAGTGTAGTCAGTCTAGGAGTTATTGGGTAGAATAATAATTTCTTTTTCTGGGTGAGTACACAATTCAATCACATTTCAACTCAGTATGTTGATAGTGGGCTATATTAATGAATTGTCTAATCATTGGTATTTGATTGTTGTGTCTACGTATTGAACCACAGTAGAAACCAACATCCGACTAGTAGAAACCTTGGAAACCAACACTACCTCAATTATTAATGACATGTAAACTATATCTATATAGGGCTACTAATAGCTGACCTATGCCTGCTGGTTAACATTTACAGAAAATCTCATCAGTGCCAATGGAAGGTAAACTGTAGTAGCCTACTGAAAAGGGCCTAGTGAAGAAACTGTTAATAAGACAAAGGGGCAAATAACCTACATTTTGGGCAGGAAAACGAATCACTAAGAGTTTAAGAAATGACAAATTCATCTTGTGGGATTTTCCTTCTTTTATTACATTACAAACAAGAAAGATAATAGGTGAATCCAAAACTTGAATGTGATGTGAGGGTAATCAAGGACCAATGGTACATTCGCCTCCTATTCCTAAAACGTTATCAGCCTGACACCATCAGCTCCGATAGTGGCGTTAGGGACACTGATGAGACTGTTCTCGACCTGGGTACCATCGACATGTGCACAATTTGATCTATCGGAATGTACCCAGAATGTATTGTTATATATTTTTGTACCCTGCGTTTCTCTTCTTGGGGTATCTAATCTGTCCCCATCACATCGACGGTACCCAGGTCGAGAGAACGAGTAGATAAAATATATATAAAATTGAAAAGATGAAATGATAAAACACGAATGTGTTTATTAACAGATTGAAAGTGTTGAAAAATCGGCCTCAATTAACGTTGAAAAGATCTTAACAGTGGACAAATGATTATCTTTGATGGCAGTATGTTCTGAAAGTTTCCTCTTTTCCTCAGGCTAGATCTACTTCAGATCATACAAGTAGATACGTCATAAAAGAAGAAAAAAGAAGATTTGATTAATTCAGAAATAATGACATACCTTGGGCGTAGGAACTCATAGTGTTCACAGACGAAGATATGCACAATACGAGGCAAACAGCGGCAAAATATTAGCAAGATGATAGCAGTATGATTGTCACAAAAATGGCGACATCAGTAGTAAAGTGTCGTCATGGCGACGTCATAACTCTCGCGAGACTGGTATATTATCACGTGACGTTACAGCTGGACAGTTTTCTTCCTGCTCTACGCAAGTCAGGATCACAGTCATTTTTTTCTGATGTTCGGTGGTTCAAAACGAGCGAGTTGTAAATGTATGAATAAGGGCTATCGGGTAGGATAAGGTGACGACTCAGTTCATCAAAATCTAGCGGGTATGGTTTTACGCCGCTTTTAGTAATATTCCAGTAATTTATCGCGTCTGGAGATACTAGAAATGGGCTTCGATCTGTACATTATGGCATGTGGGGAACGAACGACGAACGAACGCTTTAACCCCTAGGCTACTCGGAAGAATGTACTTGTCTAAGATTGTGAATGATCAACATAAATAACATAACTTTTGACGTAAATTGACAATGAATCGTTACCCAACTCAAATCTGTACACGTTAGGTCCAAACCACAAAGTGTTACGAAATGGTTGAGAATCATTCGCCCAAACACATCTAAAACAATTTGGTGAATAATGCACGTGCTGCAGTACCCAGATCCGTGGAACTTGAGAGTTTGAAGTGGGGTTTCAACTATGTGACACAAGACCTCATACAACATGTTGCCTTGGCCAGCACAATCACCAGACTTATCGCCCATAGAAAACACTTGTGGGATGACCTTGACCGACAAAATAGAGAACGACCAGGTCGCTCTTTATAACAAGGCTCAGTTAGCACAGGCCCTCCGAGAAGAATAGTGTTGAATCCAATTTCTTGTGGCCAGACGTCAAACATCTTCTGCCCGTCGTTGAGTTCGGGCTTCCACAGACGCCCGTGGAGGGCATACACAATACTGACTGACAAGATGGTGGCAACTTTGATATTTTGAAGGATAAAGGGAATTCCATGTGCTGACTTCAGTCGTGATGGTAGATCTATTACCGAACAACTGACCCCATCCTCCAAACTGTGGACACAATACCTTGATTTTTGTTTTCATTCACGACAAATGTTGTAATGATGTTGATAGATTATGTCTTTAAACAATACAAGCATCTTCCGTGACATTGGTACTGTTTTAGGAACAAACAAAGTTGGTTGGTAATGTTTCTTTTGTTCGTCAGTTTAGGTTATTGCAATAAACAATTTGTATTTCATACATATGTTTATGTTGTTTTCCAAGTAAGGGTAAATAACGATGAACAGGCATTTCTCGTCCACGTCATATATCACAGCAGGACAAGTGGAGTCAATTACCTTGTCCAAGGATACAACAGAGTGACTTGCATGATAGGGTATCTTGAAATGGAAGATTTGAAATGATTAGTAATAAATAAGAGTGACAGGCATACTGTCTATCATGCTTATGTCTTCAGCAACCCATACCTGCCGTAAAAGGCGACTATGCATGTCGTAAGAGGCGACTAACGGGATCGGGTGGTCATGCTTGCTGACTTGGCTGATGCATGTCATCGATCCCAATCACTGGATTGTCTGGTCCAGACTCGATTATTTACAGACCGCCGTCATATAGCTGGAATATTGCTGAGTGCGGCGCAAAAACAACAAACAAACAAACATGACCATGCCCACAAGCGTTTGGATAAATATTCTATTGATATTCACTCATTGCAAGAAACCAAGTTGTTATCCTTATAAAGTATCCATTACGTGAAGCTGCAAATCAGATGCCTCTTGTGTACTTGCAAAAATACATATTTCGTGCTCTATATCATTATGATGTAATGTTCTAGTGGAGACCTGTATCACTTCTGACTTTCGTCCCACATCAAGCTGACACGCGTTAAACCCAACTCACCCACTCTAGTCAGAGAACATTTGTTACAGGTACAATACGCTAGGTAAAGTTACACGGTGCACATTTCTTAATATAGGTGTGCATACTGCTTGACTATTCTACAGATAGATGATACATGATAATTATATAATTTAACATGAAGGGGAAGTTGCACGGAAACTATGCTGCGCCGTAAACGGATAAACAATGAAGTGAAATGGATTAGCCTTAAAGCTTCATCGTGTTGTACTATTTCTTACAGGTTTTGGCTATCTGAAATTTATGATAACACTGTTCTTGTATTTCATGCATTATGGTACAGCAAAGGAGTCACTGCTGACGTTGGACACGGGAGCGCCACTTCTTTCGCTTTGATATAGCCAGCTTAAGAAAACCTGTCATTATCATAGGACCACACATAAAACTCTACGTTTCTAGTGCACCCCTAATTGCTACGAGAACGTCTCTTGAGAAAATTATCAGCGCTGTCATCAATATCTAGGGTACACTAACGCTTAGTATAAAAAACATGTAATTTTGATTGAAAGAAAAATCTCCATTGCCACAGTGAGATGGGAGCCTGTACCTGGTGAAATTTTAGACTTGCTTCATTTAGGGCTTTTGCATTACAGAAAGGGCTGGACGGAAAAGAAAATCTTATGATCCAGGGACTGTACGTGCCAAGGGGAAGGAAGAATTCCTCGTCAAGTTCGCACATACATATGCGCAGTACGCAATTAAAGACCCCATAGCCGGAAGCCCAACGTTGTTAATAAATATTATTGCGTGGAGAGAGAGAGAGACGTGGTTATTTTAGTAATTGTGATTCCTAAGATCATAACTATAAAATCACACCGAAACACATTTTGAGAAAATGCGTTGCATGACATACGTTTAAATCGTTGGATGTATACAGATGAGAGCCTCGTGACATTTACTTGAGATTGCCTTGGTCACATTATCACATGGAGCAGGCACGTACACGTGCACCAAAACGTATATATAATACGGTTATGCAAGTCCTTGGAACAACGAAAGTCACACGTGACAAGGGATCCGATGTAAACAATCATAACACGTGCAGACCTTGCTTTAGTTATGCCGATTAAATGGGTTGTATAAAACTGGGAATTATTTCCACAGTTATACATTCACAAGCGTAAATATATTCAAACTGACTATGCGACAGTTTTAGTGAAAACAAACCGGTAGCCAACCTACAAAAATGAAAGAACGAAAATAGTACCATTTACCACAATAATCGCTCCCTCAAATCGTAAACAAACATGGCGGTCACACATGGATCGCACGACTGTCAACCGTGGATACTTGGCATTCCAGAGGAAATATGGGAACATATTTTTATGTCATGTGTATTAGATCACGTCGATCTGACAAGTGTTTCCGATACATGCAAATATTTTCAGAAAATTTGCAAGAGCAACGAGTTATGGCGAAAGAAACTACAACAAAGGTAAGTTTATCGCCATTTGTCCTACTTTTCCCTTTCTTCACGAGGTTCATCATGTTTATTGTTGCTCAGATCCAGGGGAGTAATGCACTTTACATGCAACACCTTTCGGATTTCAGCAAGTGCAGCTAGCAGACATGCCTTGTGCCAGACATACTAAAAACAATTCTGTTTAGGCCAGCTAAATAAAGATTCTTGTAAAGTTGCTATTCAAATTCAATAGTATTTGTCCCTGCGTGGGGAGGGGGCATCCTCGATTATCCTTTGTATTAAGGCTAGGACGGGTAGTCAGAGATGAGTAGGTCCTGAGGGTGACCCGTGGATATCTGGACCAATGGTAAATCATGTGAAACCGTTAATGACAAGGTAACAATGTGGTTAAAAAAATACCAGGCACAAATATGGTTCTTATTGGCTGCCGACAGACAATAACAATAAATCTCCATGATTACACTACTAGGTCGCTAATGTTCGCATTTCTTTCTGACTGCATTCATTCTTTTTGACGTGTATTGAGTAAAGATAAAGATAAAGCTTCAGTCAACTTCAGTGTATGCATGTTCAGGGGTTATGGAGACAATGGCCCCTGACGATTTGGAGAAAATGGCCATAATTTTTTAGAGAAAATGGACACAAGCTTTCTGAGAAACACAACTAACACAAATCCATATAAGATTTATTTCATTTATTGATAGCAGAGCTCCAGGTAAGCTGCGTATCTGCGTAAAATATGCATCAGAAATGCAGAAATACGCAGTAAAATAAAATCCAAGCGTATCAAATACGCAACGAACATTACAGATACGCTACAAAAATAAACCTCGTGCATATCATAAAAATATTGTGAAGTAGCCCTGCGTATTCGATAAGCAAATCAGCAACTTATTTTGAAATTATAAACGGGCATTCCGTCAACCTTGCAAAACTCCACGATGACAGTTACATCATGATCATTTGCCATCACACTTTCTTGTGGATGTATTGTGGTATTTTTGAGTCCTATAAAGCTCTTGAACCCACACAACATCAGTTTGCAGGGACTCATCATCCCGAGGCAAGTGAGTTAACTGACTATAAAAGTCCAGTTTCCACCCTTGCCGAACTAGGCTGGTATTATGGAGTTATATTTTGGCTGGACTAACGAGTCTATGCATAGTCCAATCAAAATCGCGCACCGAAATCAAAATCCGGTTCGTAAAGTGTCATGCAGATTTCGGTCGACTGCAGGATTTGCAAAGAATGTGCACCGCTAGCTCGTTGTCAACAGATATTTTCTAAATCTTTTCATGTTTTTAATCAAGGTGCTCACGTGATTTGATGCACTTCACGATGTAAGACTCGTTTTATCACAATATAGATCTTGATTATCGATCAGATCATCTTGACTGGGCACCACTGTTTTGTTTGAAGCAAATGCAAGTGATACGAGAGGTTGAATCTGATTGGTCCATAGGAGAGGCATAGAAGGGACATAACTCGTAATAGCCACTGGTGGCGCTACGATCGAGCCCAGGAATTCCAGCCTAGTTCGGCAAGGGTGGAAACTGGACTTTTAAAGTCAGTTAACTCCCTTGCCTCGGGAAGATGGCAGGGACTAGATGAATAGTGTTTATTAAATATTTAACTAAAATACCCACATGTGTAAAAACTAGTGGGTAAAGGAAATTTAAATACCCAGATAGAATTACTGATACCCAATGATTTTATAATGCATGGGTAAAATACCCACAACACCAAAAGCTTATCTGGAGCTCTGTGATAGGCTATTCTGGACTGATAATGTATGTCACATGGTCTGTCAAAACTGTCTAACTTCTGCTAATTAATCCCAATCCTTTTAAGTAAACAATGCATTTATTTGTCAAAATAAAAATTGTTTTGATGAGTGAGTGAGTATGGTTTTACGCTGTTTTTAGCAATATTCCAGCTGTTTTGATGAAATTGCAGCAGGTTATACATCAGCTTCAGTTACAATGCAGCTTTATGTAATCATCAGCATTATAACAAAATGTGGGGCAGTCGGGTAGCCTAGTGGTTCAAGCGTTCGCTCGTCATGCCGAAGACCCGGGTTCGATTCACGTCCTGAGTACAATGTGTAAAGCCCATTTCTGGTGTCCCCCGCCGTGATATTGCTGGAATGTTGCTTAAAGCGGCGTAAAACCATTAAACCATACTCACTCACTATAACAAAATGTGCCTTTTTTCCCAAAATGTATATAATAATGTCTGTTTATGATCAGGATGATTGTTAGTGTGTACAAGAGAAGTCTTTATATAGGCTTTCACGCTTGTATTACATCCATTTCTTTTTAATAAAATATTGTGTAAACCATTATCCTCAATAATCCTCACTTCTTCAGAATTTCTACAAAATTATTATTATTGTAACACCAAACAAAATAACAATTAATACATGGGACCAATTTGAGTCCTCACTTCTCCAGTATGTGTCATTGTCTCTGGCCTATCTAGCTTTTAAATAACATGTGTTACTACTCCTAGTACATGTAGAACTAATTGTAAAACAAACAAAATAACAATTGATAATGTGAAATGGGAGGCAAGGGTTTCATGTAATTATTGTACAAACTAGACAACTAGGTTTTATTTGGTTCCATTTTCTCCAACATTTGAGGCCATTTTCTGCAAAATTTGGGGTCATTTTCACTAAAAATTGTGGCATTTTTCTCCAAATTGCCTGTTGCCATTTTTGCATGGGGCCATTATATCCTGCTCCCCTTGCATGATCAGATCGTTTTTTGTGTGCAACTAAATAGTTTTTGCTTGGGTTCTTGTAAAACAATTCGCAATCAGACATTTTGTACTCATCTCTTGAGACCTACATTGGGTAGGGTCTGGTAAGAGGGGTTTGGGTATCTGGGTAGTAAAGCCCTACTTTGTATCATGTCTCCATTCTAGTATTAATATTGAAAATTTCACAAGCACAAGTAGTGTGTGCAGTGAATTTATAATTTCATTTTCATTTTACTAATGAGATCTCACAAGATCTCGTAACAAATCTTACCTATAAACCCTTCTTCATAAGGGCACAAAAAATATAATAAAGTATTTGAGTTCCAAAATTGTTTACTCTCTGTGGATGGAATCGTCAGAATGTAAAAGTGTTTTACAAGATTGTGAAATATCTTGAACAGGCTTCAAGCCCCATCTGCGTAAAATAGGCATCAGAAATGCAGAAATACGCAGTAAAATAAAATCCAAGCGTATCAAATATGCAACGAACATTACAGATACGCTACAAAAATAAAACTTGTGCGTATCATCAAAATATTATGAAGTAACCCCGCATATTCGATTAGCAAATCAGCAACTTATTTTGAAATTATAAACGGGCATTCTGTCAACCTTGCCAAACTCCACGATGACAGTTACATCATGATCATTTGCCATCACACTTTCTTGTGGAAGTATAGTGGTATTTTTGAGTCCTATAAAGCTCTCGAACCCACACGACACCAGTTTGCAGGGACAAGATGAATAGTGTTTTTAAATATTTAACTTAAATACCCACATGTGTAAAAACTAGTGGGTAACAGAAATTTGAATACCCAGATAGAATTACTGATACCCAATGATTTTAAAATGCATGGGTAAAATACCCACAACACCAAAAGCTTATCTGGAGCTCTGAAACACTGTTGGCCATGTTGACATTCATGATGTGTATGGGTTACATATGATTTATTCAGTCACATTTCAGTTTTTATGGACAAATCTGGAAGCAACTACATGTATATTGTAGCATATTCTAAACTCTTAAATTCAACTTGATGTTTGACCACTAGAAAAAGTTCAAAATTCATAATCTGCACAGAGTGGACATTCTTGCAGAAGATGTATCTTCATGAAAACTCTTCCACCAGTGTCGTCTAAACTGAAGACTAGGCGAATATCATCTATAATATGATTGTTTGTGATCTGAGTTTTGTATATTATTATGGACAAAGGGTTGTAGGTATATCTATTTATTTTTTGTTTTGTTGTCATTCCAAAATTGAAATTTATCTGTCACTTTCAACATCACTATTACTAGTTAAAGTTACACTCATACTCGTTTAACTCACAACTTTTGGTGGTATGTTGTTTTTTTTTCTCAAAATGGCAAAGTACTTTTGCCATGATGTTGTCAAGTGGAACGGATGTTCTACGCACGTCAGAAGAATCCTCGTATGCTGCATTAAGCTATTGAGATGTTCATTGAAACAGATGATGAGTATGGTTATGTGACTTCCATTGCAATCAGAAAAAACCTGGCAGTCAAGAAAACTGTGTAGCAAATGTCAATCAAGTTATTTATTTTTGTATCTATATATTTGAAGCAATAGAATTTAATCACTACAAGATTTTTCAAGGTAGTCAATTGGCGACCTCTGAATATTTTATAGCAGACAAATTGACTTTTAGGTCACCATGGTCACATTGGCGACTGTTTTGGTCGCAACTTTGAGGTCTGAGTAAGGGTCTTTGTGGTCGAGTTTGCACATGTAATCTTCCTTGGGAAAATCTCTCAGGAGGTGCAAGCCTTCCATCTTGAAGTGCTTGTAAGGGATACAAGCATTTAGGGCTTTCAGGTTTATGAAAGGTCTGTGACCGCCATCTTTCTTTGGTACCACGAACATTGTGCTTAGAAATGGGCCTTGTTCTGGTGAAATAACGAGAACCCTTTCTATGAATTTCTTTATGAGCATCTTTTGGATTTCCTTGCTCAGTGCAAGTTGCTCTGACTCAGGCAGATGTGAACGGGGTATACTGTTAGGACTGGTAGAGACAGCAGGTCAAATCCTTCTAGTGTCTGTAGAACCCAAGGGTTTCCTGCGGGGAAAGGAACTGCTCACGCCAAAAAGACAGTGTTGTTGTCTAACCCACCTGTTGTGGGACGTCCTGCTGTTACGGCCAGGATGTCCTCCCCTGCCTCGGGTGGACTGTCCACGACTCCCTCCTCTGCCAAGAATAGCTCTGACTTTGAACATGTTGAAGGCGCCCTCAGCAAGCTTCAAGGATATTTTCCTCAAGTTTAAAATTCTACCAGATTTGGAAGAGCTATCACTTCCACCCAGTGATTGGTCAAGGTCTGAATCTCACGCTATACATGCTTATTTTCTTGCATGCTTGTAGCGCCCACCATCTTGTTTGGTATTCAATCTTTTCAAACTTGAGACCAATGGCAGATGCTGATAGGTTGCCTTCGAGTCCTGACCATCTACAGGGTTGGTCAACCTGATAACATGATTGATTATGCAACCCTCTCCCAGACCCTAGAGAATAAATTAGTCCAGTTCAAGTGTAGAATGACTGGGCAAGTCTAGATTGCCTCATCTCCTGAAATTAAGCAATGTGTGGTTCCGTTTGGATTTTATATTATATATTTTTAAATAAACTAACTTTATTTCTGGGACTAATGTTAGTCTAGGCAACATTTTGTTAGTGGGAAGAAGATTAGTTGTTGGGGCAGCTGTATCCATGGTGTCCAAATTTTGAAAAAGTTCTTACCTGAGCCCCTCTAAAAAATATGTGCGGTTTTTTTTTCAGCACAGTGAAAGCATTTTCCCGGGGCAAGGGAGTTAACTGACTATAAAAGTCCAGTATCCACCCTTGCTGAACTAGGCTGGAATTATGAAGTTTTATTTTGGCTGGACTAATGAGTCTATGCATAGTCGTACCAAAATCGCGTAACAAAATTGACATCTGGTTTGTAAACTGTCGTGCTGATTTCGGTCGATTGCAGGTTGTGCAAAGCATGTGTACCGCCAACTGGGCATCAATAGATATTTTCCAAATTTTTTCATATTTTTTATTAAGGTGCTCATGTGATTGGATGCACTTCGCGAAGTAATACATTTCTATTACAAAATAGATTTTGATTCTCTATCAGATCTTCTTGACTGGGCACTGCCATTTTGTTTGAAGCAAATGCAACTGATATGAGAGGTGGAATCTGATTGGTCAATAGGAGGGACATAGAAGGGACATAACTCGTAATTGCCACTGATCTTGCTGATGGTGTTACTATTGAGCCCAAAAATTCCAGCCTAGTTCGGCAAGGTTGGAAACTGGTCTTTTACAGACAGTTAACTCCCTTGCCATGGGAAGATGAATAAAATTGGAATAGGCAGGTTTTCCATCTTTAAGTTACTGGTTTATCTACAGTAAAATGCAACACATTTGTGTTAGTGTCATAAAATATGAACAACACTGGGATGATGATAACAGCTGTGGTGCAACTAGGAAAAACCCCACAATAATGTGAAGGGTAAGGGGATTTAGATTAGGGTCAGTCACAAAATGGGAACCAATATTCTTTTGACTAATAATATTTCTTTTGTTCTGTGCTGTGCAGTTTTCCAGACCTGTACGACCATTATGACCGAGGAGTGCACAAGTGTTGGCGGGAAGTGTACAAGGGACGTGTGCTGTATGGACGCAGAACGAGGAATGTGGTGTCAGGGCTGTCGGCCGAGTACTTCAACACTCAGGAGATATCAAAGGAAGGCTTCTCGCAGTTTATTGTACTCCTCGAGGAACATGATGAGTCGGGGAATTACATCATGGATGAACTCATGAACATAGTGCATGATGGGAAGAAGTGAGTAAAGGATTTTTGAAAGTGTAATCGTTGCTTGACTGTTATGAACATTACCGTCTGCATCCTATCATGTCCCAGACTGGTTGTGTTTGGTGACCAAATGGACAGGCCTGGTGACTTGGTTGATGCTGTTTTATTGTATCCTGATGGCTTGGAGTGTCTGGTCCAGACTTGATTATTTTCAAGCTGATGTCATATAGATGAAGTGTTGCTGAGTTTGACGTCAAACAACAAACAAACTTAAGATTAGTAGGGAAGGTAGGTGGGTAAATGTTAATGGGTTTGTCGCCTTAAATTGAGAATCTAAACCCCCGCACATTTTCTTCCTTAAGACATGTTAGAGGTAAGTCACAGAGTGATCAGTCTGAAAATGTTGTGTCAGTATAATTGTCCCTTAGGCATATGAAAGGTGCTCCACGTAGCCAAGCATATGTCCATATTCATATTATTCATGAGTCTCAACATTCCAGTGTCTTAATGCCGAGCCAGGCAGGGTGACAGTAGGTACCATCTTTTAACGTCTTTTCTTATGAATCAGCCTCACGATTGAACCACTGACTTTCTGCTCTCTGTTCAGACTATCTATCCATTGCACCACAAAGGCTGTTAAAGAGACTTATTTGGATGTTTGCAGACATAATTCTGAGGGACTGAACAATGTCTGACATTTCTGTTTCACTAGGTGCCACAACCTGACAGAGAAATACTATGCAGAGAAGGTCTTAAGACATTTAAGTCAGATCCACCTGGCAACAAAATGGCAGCAGTACCTCCAGTTACCGGAGGCCGACCAGAATCTGGAGTTGGGTAGGTACTTCAGGGTATGAATGTCCTTGTATTAGAGTGCCATATACAGTATGATGAACAATGGCACAGCTTTGATAAATTCATGGTGCCTGAAGGTCACAATTAGAAATCATAATTTATGAAAATATTCCTTGTGATAATGTATATTAAATGAAGCTTGTGAAAAATGTAATTCACAGTATGATTCATAAAATAAACCTGGGGATTTGAAACTGAATTGGATGTTATCAAGCTCAAAGAGGAAGATGGAGCCAATCTTTCAGCTACTTATCATCCGGCTACTGATACCCGTGAAGATTGGGGCTAGAATTGGTCTTCAGCAACCCATGCTTGTCGTAAGAGGCAACTAACGAGATCGAGTGGTCAGACTTATTGACTTGCTTGTTGCTTTTTATCGTATCCGAATTGCGTAGATTGATGCTCATGATGTTAATCACTGAATTGTCCGGTCCAGACTCAATTATTTACAGACCACCATCATCTTGCTGGAATATTGCTGTGTGTGGCGTTAAACAACAAACAAACAAACAAATGTAGCTCATGGTGAACATGGTGAATGATGTTTACTGAGTTTGAAAGTGGATGACAAGTTTTCTTGGTGACACACACAAATTCCAAAGGGCACACCTAGACATCTTTGTGAGTGCCTGGTGGATTTCTATCCCAGGACTCACTATGTTTGGATAGGATCAGTAGAGAGAAACTTTACAGTCTCTTTAAGACTCAAATCTTTCACACTGACACCTCTCTGCATGAACCTTTTGCGAACTCAGATCCCCCAAATGAAGGGGAGTTGCCCAGTGGTGCCACCCAACTATCAGTGTTACCCAGAACTCCATCAATGTCACCCCCTCTCTGTCCCCCAGGTGCTGTGATGATTGCCCAGTGGTGCCACCCAACTATCAGTGTTACCCAGAACTCCATCAATGTCACCCCCTCTCTGTCCCCCAGGTGCTGTGATGATTGCCCAGTGGTGCCACCCAACTATCAGTGTTACCCAGAACTCCATCAATGTCACCCCCTCTCTGTCCCCCAGGTGCTGTGATGATTGCCCAGTGGTGCCACCCAACTATCAGTGTTACCCAGAACTCCATCAATGTCACCCCCTCTCTGTCCCCCAGGTGCTGTGATGATTGCCCAGTGGTGCCACCCAACTATCAGTGTTACCCAGAACTCCATCAATGTCACCCCCTCTCTGTCCCCCAGGTGCTGTGATGATTGCCCAGTGGTGCCACCCAACTATCAGTGTTACCCAGAACTCCATCAATGACCAGCTGGACGAGATAGCGCGGATGGTGAGACGGGAGCTGTGTCAGAGGTCGCCGGACCACCCAGCATGCAATATGGACCACAATGCAGGAGGTGAGCGGAATCTTGTACATGCACACATTTATCAGTCTGCGATAATAGCCACTGAAGCAAGAATCTAAATGATATGTCTTGGTCTTGTAAGCTCATCTAATAGTGAATCCCATTGGGATTCCGTTGAGGCTAGGTCCCCAGCAGCCATCTCGAAATTGATGGCCATCTTGAATAATTTGTAGGTTTTTCAATAGTCGAAAACATTGGGTAGCTGTTGTTAAAATCCATTTAGAAGCACAATATGGCTTTTTTGCAATAAAACCCATGCTTTTCATCAATAGATTGAACCTCATCTGAAATATGGAAGATATGTTGATAATTGGCGGCCATATTGGATTATGCAAATTAGATTTTTTTCCCAAACTTGGATTGTTTTGAACTTTTTGTATGTTGTTCTTGGGACCTAGTAGAAATGCATTGTTGTGAAATAAATCCTGTTGCAATTTGTTTTAAGTGAAACCTTATTTTGCCTGGACTATTGCTTGTTGTATGAGGTGATGTTTGGGTGGTCATCTTGTTGGTTAGCATGCCTTATTGGCCCAGTATATTCATGGCTCATGGAGGAATGTAGTGTATAAAAACCTGTGAATGCAACAGTAATGATGCTTCTTGTCCTACCAGTAGTAGGATTGTAAGATGTTATAAATATTTCTGACCGCCTCCGTGGTCTAGTGGTAGAGCGGAAGGTCCGGGGTTCGATCCCCGGCCGAATCATACCAAAAGACGTTAAAAGATGGTACTTGTTGTTACCCTGTCTGGCACTCGGCATTAAGGGGTTAAAGCAAGGACTGGTAGGCTCGGAGTCAGTATACTGTGTCTGAGTGGGGTATTGATGTTAAACTGCAGCATGGTATCTCAGTGGGCTAGCACTATAAATCGGCATCAGTCGGGTCTAGTACAAGCAGCCACACACACAAACACACATGCATGCACGTCGCTATATAAGTGCAATAATCTTGAACGCGACGTTAAACCCAATTTCACCTCACCCATAAATATTTCTCTAAAGTAGCCATAGAATATGTACACAAGCTACAACTTGGTACCCTTTTTTAAATCGTTGGCATCATCTCTTGATTTGTCTGTTTTCAGCTATTTCAGAGCATCTGTGGTCACCTCAGCTATGTCGAGTTGTCATGGTGACGTTAAACTATGTACTGTTTGACAAGCTTGGATTCTGTGGCAATGAGGAGAATTACTACGATCCAAAGAATTCCTACATCAATAGAGTAAGAAAGTAGACACTAACAATGCTTATTTCAGGGCAGAATATTCCTCCACTAACAATGGGTAATGGAGACCCTGACTCGGTGGTCACCATAGGCAACTAAGGTGTGTTGGTCTGTAACCATGGGCGACTAAGGTGGGCTGAGGTGGTCACTATAGGCAACTGAAATAGGATAGGTGTCACCATAGGCATCTAAGGTGGGATGGGTGGCCACCATAGGCAACTAAGGTCGGATAGGTAGTCACCATGGGCAACTGAGGTAGGATGGGTGGTCACCATAGGCAACTAAGGTCGGATAGGTAGTCACCATGGGCAACTGAGGTAGGATGGGTGGCCACCATGGGCAACTAAGGTAGGATGGGTGGTACCATAGGCGACTAAGGCAGGATGAGTGGTCACCATTGGCGACTAAGGTAGGATGGGTGGTCACCATAGGCAACTAAGGCAGGATGAGTGGTCACCATGGGCAACTAAGGCAGGATGAGTGGTCACCATAGGCAACTAAGGTAATGGGTGGTCACCATCGGCGACTAAGGTAGGATGGGTGGTCACCGTGGGCAACTAAGGTAATGGGTGGTCACCATCGGATGGGTGGTCACCATAGGCAACTAAGGCAGGATGAGTGGTCACCATAGGCAACTAAGGTAGGATGGGTGGTCACCATCGGCAACTAATGTGGGATGGGTGGCCACCATTGGCAATTAAGGTCGCATGGGTGGTCACCATAGGCAACTAAAGTAGGATGGGTGGTAACCATAGGCAACTAAGGTAGGATGGGTGGTAACCATAGGCAACTACAGTAGGATGGGTGGTAACCATAGGCCACTAAGGTAGGATGGGTGGTAACCATAGGCAACTAAGGTAGGATGGGTGGTAACCATAGGCAACTAAGGTAGGATGGGTGGTAACTATTGGCAACTAAAGTAGGATGGGTGGCCAACAGTCCTAGTGCCTCTTTAAAGTCAAAAGCAGACACATTCTGTCAATAATTATTTCCCTTCTATAAACTATGTTAAGTAAGGATGAAGGAGCTGTACCCTGGCCAAAGTCACAGATGTAAATGTAGCCTACCTGACCACTACATGGCACTTACATAATGAGTCTGTTACAATATGAAGGTGTGCAGTGGAACCAGTTGTATGCACCATTGTATGGATTCATGATTGCAATGGGCCCAGTGCTATGCAATGGCTAGCTAGGATCCTTTTCTGTGTACAGAACCACAGTAGTGACTGCAGTTGCAATGTTTAGGTTCTGGAGAGGAAGAAGGGGATTCCGATTACGCTGTCCATTGTCTACAGTGCCGTGGCGCGGAGACTGGGGGTCGTGTGTGAAGCTATCAACTTTCCTTCCCACTTCCTGCTGCGATGGCTGGAGCGGCCCATGTAAGTCATTAGGGATGATCAAACTGTCCTTTAGCAGGAGGGTATGGTAGCACAGTTGACTAAGGCACTACTAATGGCAGTGTCAGAACTGCAGCCCTTAGCCATGAGTTTGAATCCCTGACTTGGCACCAAGCGTGCTGTTCTTTACATGTTTTTAGCCTTATAGCTTGGAGTTACATTCTGAAACTAGGAAATCAGTCTAAGTTAGTGAGTCAGCATCTTAACTGAACCACTCAAATTCAAATGATAAAAGATCTCTTTTACATAACCAAGCGACTAGTGGTTTTCCAGGGTTTAGAAATATTTCTTTAATTTGACATCTGATTTTATTACAACTGCCATGGCCATTTGATGATAGGGGTGTTACTTTTATTACTAACTAGCCCTGAACATGCTGAAGTGATTCCAATCTCATTAAAATCAGATCTTCTCGCTGGCGCTAAACAAAGATCTGAGGACATCCCATTACGGGTCACGTCAGACCGACCTTTCGCAAACTCTGACCAACCAATGGAATTACTGACAAGAAGTCGACATTAGCCAATCAGGGGGAAGCTGAACAACAGAACGTTCTAGAATGGCTAATATATTGTCTAGATTGTATAGATTCAGTCGTTAAGCCTGTAACTATCGTTCGGAATACCCCGTTTCAATGTTTTCGAGGCTGCATGATTAGAAATCACATTCAGACTGTCACTTTCATGATCTGGTAAGCAACGCTCTGATTGGTCGGATGAAAGGTCGTTCTGACATGACCCCTAATGGGATGTCCTCAGATCTTTGTTTAGCAGTAGCGAGAACTAAAATCTGATTTTATGAGATTGAAGTGATTCAAGGGTAGAATTGGTCCCCAGGAACACATGGTGGTTGTAAGAGCGTGGATTGGGTGGTAAGGCTTGGTGACTTGGTTCATTCCTTGCCATTGTACCTTGTTCAAGTGGCTGTTGCTCATAATATCCATGGTTTTGTCTGGTACAGACTCCAATGTTTACAGGCAGCTGTGATGTAACTGGAACATGGCAAATAAGTACTCAGTACAACCACAAATTTTAAATGTGAACATCATGAACATGGTGAAGCATTATGCCATTTTTTAAAGATACTTTGCCTTTCTGCTATTACTATTTTCATTCTTCATTTATTCTTTTAGCGTTTTCAGCTGTATTTCAGCTTTCATATTAGAATTGACTGGTTAAGGTGTGTTGTTTCAGAGCCCCAGTGAGTCAGCAGTATGTGTTCGTGGATGTGTTCCGGGGAGGGCGCTTCCTGCAGCAGGATGAGTGTTGTGGTGCAGTGGGCATCCCCGAGGGGCTCGGCTTCCAGAAGGAACACTACATGTCTGTTCCACCAAAGAAGGTAAATACTAGCCAGTAGGAAGACGGTCTCCCAGGTATGAGCTGGCTGTGTTAGTGTGAGATCAAACCTTCGTAATGTGGATAGATGCTGATTATGATTAGTCGATGAATGGCCAATGGTATTTATCATAATAGAAAGGTGATATATTATACCCTAGATAATAGAGGATGGGTCATCACAGCTTCTCAAAGGTGGTTCTAATGTCTCAATCGCTCCTTCCAGGTTCAGCATATAAAAAATGTTGGCCAATCAGACAGATACTAGTAAAAATCATTTAGGTCCAGTCATTTTACAATTGGGGTGGGCTGACTGACTAGAAAAGAAAATTTGAAATGCCAGATTTCTTATTTGATTTTTATAACATAATATGAATGTATGGAAATATGGTATTTGTACTTCAGTAGCCAATTCTTGTAGACCAGTTATTTTTCTAGTGCACTAGTCTGTTTGTCCACCTGAAAAGCCATTTCTGAATGTACCAGAGCGGGGGGATATGTCTTCTTCTAATGACTTTTGTTTTTGTTGCCATGGTGATTGTGACAATCTTCAGGTACCCTACTTTCTGTTACCTAGTTACCATGGTAACTCTAATCTCCGGTTGCAGGTTTTGGAGCGGATGGCCAGGAACCTGGTTGGTATTGGGCGCCATCAGAGTCAGCTTGGTGACGGACTGCTGTGTTTACGCAATGCCCTCGATCTCTTCCTTATTATCAGCCCTGATGACCTAGAAATGAGGCTGCTCCAAGTCCGCATCAACCTCCATCTCAACATCAACCTGCCAGATGTGAGTACATGTGCTTTGCCTACACACAGGCTGTAATGAGGTAGCCTGAAAACTCTTCTGTACTATAGTTAACTTTAAACATATTTCATTCACAAATGCAAAAGGATCAGAACAGGTTATCCAACTTAGGAATTCATAAGGGACAGATAATCGGTGATTCTGAGTTGCAAGCATCAAGGAGTTAACGACTGTAAAAGTCCAGTTTCCACCCTTGCTGAACTAGGATGGAATTTCTGGGCTCGATCATGGCGCCACCAGTCACTATTATGAGTTATGTCTCCCTATGTCCCTCCTATTGACCAATCAGATTCCATCTCTTATATCACTTGCATTTGTTTCAAACAAAATGACGGTGCCTAGTCAAGACGATCTGATTGATAATCAAAATCTATATTATAATAACGGATCTTACATCACGAAGTGCATCAAATCACTTGAGCACCTTTACTAAAAACATGAAAAGATTTGGAAAATATCTACTCAGGCCGTGTTGGCGGTACACATGTTTTGCAAAGCCTGCAATCAACCAAAATCTGCAATGCCGTTTGAAAACCAGATGTCGATTTTGTAAAGTTATTTTTCAGTCAAATTTCAAATCTGGCCCGAATTGAATATGACAACTTAAGTTTAGAGTTACTTCCCTTTTGTTTTAGTCGCTACAGGGTGGAAAATGGCTGTCTGATATTGCCAGCAATACTTTCTTCATTTCTGTTGCTTTGATTAATATAATTACCGAACCTTAAAGTTGGTTTAAAACTATTGCAATACTATTCAATAGTGTGGGGTACTAATGAAATACTATCATGATCGTGAAAATAGATTCAATAATTCCACTATTCGTTTCAATTTTACAATCCAGTACATCCCGCTAATGACCCATGTGGTCCATATAAATTTATTAGGACTAAACTATGGTGTAAATGAAGCCAAATTTCAAGCTTGTAAGTTGTTTCAGACTGTTATGTGACTTGACTTTTCTCGCAGGTGATTGACAGTTTGCAGCATGTCGCTGACCTTGACCCTACACGTATGGGGCTGGTGGCGTACCTGCTGCAGGAGGCCCAGGTTCACATACAGGAAAACAAGGACACAGAAAAGAGAGAAAAGGTAGCTGATTGAATGATTCTCAGAACAGTGCAGGGGGCTTCACCAGACTAGTAAATGTTCCATCGTCAAGCACAGGTCAGGTTTAGATGGCCTTGAGTTGCCAATCAGGGGAGACAATCTTCTCTTCTCTTTGCAAGTGTTTGTTGCAGACATGGAACAGTGCCAGGACCCATTTTGACAAATGTCGAAAGTGTGGCACATTACCATTGATATCAGGTTTTGAGTCCGGGGTGGGGTCCATGTTTATCTTACCTGGTCTTAGTTCTTTTCTTAAATGACCTGATGGATTCAGCTAAAATTTTGTGCAGATACATGTATACCTGTTACAATAAAGGGGGTTCAAGTTTGTTCAAGGCCTCATTTTGGAATTTCAATATGGGCAACCAGGTAACCAGGACCAGAGGCCTGTAACTGGGTGAGATGGTCGGCTTATGAGGTACCAATTTGGATCCAGGTATTTTCATCAGAAATCAAATATAGCCGTGGTGCCATATTGGAAATGCAGAAAATTGTTTTGAATGCAGTTTTAAAAATGCCATAAGTTGCAGCTTCATTGAAAAATGTATTTATTTCTTCCTCGGCCATATTTGTTCGAAATGTAATAAAAATTTGGTGTATATGAGTAGTAAAAAAAAAATTTGACACATTTCTTTGGAATAATTGTTTTAACCACGCTCTAAAATTCTGTTAAAATGCATATTTGGCTCTGCTGACTTCTCATCTCAAAAGAGTTTTTCTTCCTAAGTATTTATTGAGAAATAGTTGAGTATCAAAGCTGTTGCAACTTTTGTTAAGTGTCTGTCCTTGTTGATATCTAAACTGTTATCTACATATATATATTTCCATTCATTCACCCATTAAGATGATTAAGCTGACATGCATTGATATTGCTTAAATACTGCTAAAATAGCCAGTCAGTCATCAGTGTTTGCGGAGAGCTGAGACTAGCTACTGTTTCAGCCGAAGAGGAAGTTGCGGGAGGACAACCAGGAGGTGAAGTACTCTGTGGGGATGGTGATGAAGCACAAGAGGTGAGGCCCACACAATCCTTGGTTATCAAGGTTGTTGTAGTCGCTGTGTCAGTGAAATGTTCTTGAATGCAACAATAAACCCCATGTTACATCACCTGGTGTATTGTTTCTCAATCTGCGACATTAGTCACTAGTCTGAAGCCCGAGCCTAGTCAAATTTGGTTCGGTCTTGTTGGATTGATGCAATGTGAAATTACATGTCCAGTCAAATTAACATTGCTCTTTCATGATTGAAAAGGATCACCTTCGTGGTCTAGTGGTAGAGTTCTGCCCGGAGAGTGGCAGCCTTATACAAAAAGACGTTAAAAGATGGTACTTGTTATTAACATGCCTGGCGCTCTGCATTAAGGGGCTAAAACAAGTTACCTAAGATAAGCAAGTTACCTAAGGTGTGTTCGGATTGATTTCTCAGCGGGGTATATGAGCGAGCTACATAGAAAATAATTGCCTGCTCCTTAACCGATCAGAAGCTCATATTATAATGTAAGGTGAGACAATAGGCTATGTAGGCTATGACTACCGAGCTTGAGGGGACTGGTTTCTGTGTAGGTACGACTACACTTGTGTGATCTTTGGCTGGGATGAGACTTGTCAGGCGAGCGAGGAGTGGATAGTGCAGATGGGTGTTCACAATCTGACGAAGCAACACAAACAGCCTTTCTACAGCGTCCTTGTGGAAGATGGCAGTAATAGATACGCTGCACAAGGTATGTCTGATATCAGCATTTATTCCAGGGGCAGAGTTACATCATCTGTATGAGGAATTATTACATGCTGGCTGCTCACATTGGTGTTCTGCTACATGGTAGGGCTGGGATGGGTAACTCGGGTACCCGGGTCGGGTGGGTCCTGAGTAAGACCCGGGTACCCACATGACTACCCGGACCCGTGGTTAAACACGTGATATACTGTTTAATGACATTAACAATAAAACTCAATGGTTACACTACAAGTATAGCTAATGTTCACATTTCTTTCTCACTATGCAAGCATTCGTTCTGACTTTTCTATGTTCGATAAAGCGTCTATCAACTGCAGTGTATACATGACCAAATCGTTTTATATGTGTATCTAAATAGTTTGTGCCAGGGCTGCAGTAAAACAATTCCCATTCAGACATTTTGTACTCAACTCTTGAGACCTACAGCGGGTATCCGCGTAGGGCCGGGTAATAGGGTGTTGGGTACCCGGGTAGTAAATTTGGACTTGTCCCAGCCCTACTGCATGGGTCCACTAGTATTATGCTCTAAGAATTACACAGGCTGCCATTGATGTTATCTGTATGCAAAATTATTACACAGGATGCCACTTAGGCCGTCCTAAATGGATCTGGATCCAAATACCTGCCCTACTCTCAACTACTGTTTGTCTATGACCTAACCTCAAGTATACACAGGCTGGCGTGAATTAGGAACTATAGCTCTGTTTGACTCTACTTCCAGAAAACATGTTGTACACGGACAGTCCCCGCGAGATCCAGCACCCTGAAGTGGGTCGGTACTTCCAGACCTTCACAGAGACACACTACATCCCCAACCAGGAGAAGCAGAGGGAGTACCCGGACGACACCGATGTGACGCGCGCCCTCCTGCAGGAACATTACACTCCCAACATGTGATCAGTGTAATCACTGACAGTAGCAACATGGCGCTGTGATACCTTTGTGCTCTTCCCAGACGACCTCATCATGGATTGTGCATCTAGGAGAATGGGTGCTTGACTGCCGACTGATATATTTGACAAACACAAGTCCATTTGGAAACTTTCTGTTCTTCATATTGTGCAGGCCCAGTTGTGTGTTCTTGCAGCATGACTATTGAACAGCTAGTTGCCGATTTCATAATTCCCCTCTTGAGTGTTGGACATTCAGGCTTTGCGATTCATGTTCACTTGTCTTAGATTTGTGGGGATCCTGGGTGAGAATATAAGACACCAGCAACCAGCAACCCATGCTTGTTGTAAGACGTGACTAAGTGGATTGGGTGGTCATCGCATTCGAGTTGCGTAGATCGATGCTCATTATGTCAATAACTGGATTGTCTGGGCCAGACTCAATTGTGACTGATGTCATATAGCTGGAATATTGCTGAGTGCGGTGTAAATAACAAACTAGTCTTCTCTAAACACCAAACAATAGTTATCATAGTGAATAATTCTAAGAATACCACCTCTATCACATCAGTGCCATAAATTCCTGTTTATGCTGAGAACCACACTATAAATTTTTTATAAATTTTCAACAGACGTCCACTACACTGCCAACATATCCATAGTTGTGAGGGAAACCCTATCCCTTGCCAGAGGCGCCACTGCGCATGCGCAAGGCGGGAATCTAGTCACTTCTTTCAACCCATACTCTCATCAACTAGATGCAGATATTTGGGGAGGTGGGAGGGATTAATTCCTGATGTGATAGAGGTGGTATTCTTAGAATTATTCACAATGATAACTATTGTTTGATAATTCTTGTGAATACCTCACCTCTATCACATCAGTGCCAGTATACACCAGAGGGACCGGCGGGTTCTGGTATCTAGCATCCCATAGATATTTGGCTAGTGAAGTGGTAAAACCAAGGATTATATGCCAAAAGGGGTCTTAAACGGATGTGTCTAATAGTCTACTTACAAGACTTAGACGTATAGAATTTTCAAGGCGTCATGTGAAGGGTATATGTATATTCCCTTGTGATACTTAGACTTTTTAGTGACATCGTTTCCTGTGATGACGTCATCTGTGACGTCACTTCCGGTGATGACGTCATCTGTGACGTCACTTCCGGTGGCACTATTCTCCCGTATCACTTATGACGTGGTTTACCGTTATGCCCTTTTTGGATAGTGATATTTAACGTATCTTAACGTTTCTCCAGTGTGATGACTCCTATGACGTCACTTCCGGTGGTAGTACATTAACCTTCCTATCATGTAGATTACCGTATATCACTTAATCCTTCGATCTCTGATTTCAGTGTTGACATTTGCCCTGTTTTACTAACTCAATAGCGCAGTCCAGTAACAAAGTACAACTTACCCTGAGTTCCTGAGGTACTTCTGAAATCTTCACCCCCCCCCCCCCCCCCCCTCTTTTTTCCCTTTCCTGGAAGAGGGAGGGAACAGGTTACTTTACTTGGTAACTATCACCTGGGCGGCCACCAAAGGCCCCAGAGTGTATAGTCCATTTAGATCGGTCTGTATGTCTCGTAAGTAAAAGTTTGAAAAAGTGTTGTGGGACTTCCACTGGCAGCTGGCCACGATTTGTTCGATGGATGCAGTATTCCATGTGGCTAGGCTTGTTGCCAGTGCTCTGATTTCGTGGGGTCTGCAGCTACCCCAAATCGGAGTGGAGATTTGTGCCGTTTTATAGCTATCTGTGATAGCTGTTTTTAGCCATCCCGCTACAGTGCCCTTTGCGATGTCCTTTTCTGACGAGGGCTTGCAAGAGATAAATAGGCGTTTTCTCTGCTTTCTGTGGGGTTGAGTCGCTGTGATAAAATATCTCAAGGCTCTTATGGGGCAAAGCAATCTATCCGGGAAGTCCACACTTTTACTTAGAGCTGGTATAGTGTATTGCCGATGTCCGAGTGGGCCGAAGGTTGACGACTGGTTTTTGGCAATAAATTCAGGGAGCGATCTGAACGACACTGCTTTCCATTCTTTGGTATGGGTTACAGTGGAGATATCAATAGCGTGTAGTTCTGACACGCGAGCCGCCGTAGCCATGGCTAAGGGGAAAAGCAGTTTTCTTGGAGACTGATAGTAATGTCGCACTACTCATGGGTTCATACGGTGCTTTCATCAATGCCGACAATACTATAGATAGATCCCATTTAGGAAAAGTACGTGGTCCTTTTATATCTTCCAGGGCAAAAGACTTCATAAGTCGATTTAGTACTGGATGGGTACCTATAGATAGGTCATCGTGTTGTAATACTGATGACAGGGCTGATCTATATCCTTCGATAGTGCCGTGTCGTAATTTCTTGTCGTTTCTGAGATGGATCAAGAATTCGGCTACTATAGGTATCGTTATATCTCCATGTAACTGTTTCCCTCTTCTCCATTCGATGAACTTGTCCCATCTGTTATTATATAAGGCAGATGAGGCTGGTCTCCATGAGCTAGCCACTCTTCGTGCAGCTGCTTTAGAGTAACCGGCGGCTTGCATCTTATGCGAGATAATTTCCAAGCGTGAAGATGGAGGTTGTCGAGGCGGCCGTAAAATATGTCCGTCTTCGGTTGTCTCAATAGGTTGTGACGTACTGGGAGTTTCAGAGGTACTTCTAGCAGGAGTTGTAGAAGTCTCGGAAACCAAGCGCTTTTGGGCCAAGCCGGGGCTATGAGGATTATGACACAATCCGTTTCCTCTATTTTCTTCAGTACTCTGTCTAGGAAAGCCCATGGGGGAAATGCGTAAGCAAACATTCCCTTCCATTCCATGGAGAGCGCATCGACTTGGAGTGCTAGTGGGTCTGGTACTGGGCTGACGTAGACTGGTAGTTTGTTGTTGAGACATGTGGCGAATAGATCTATGTTTGGAGTGTCCCATATCTGGGTTATCCACTTGAACACCTCGGGATGTAGTGACCATTCTGTGGGTACTATCTTGTTTTTCCGGGATAGGTAATCTGCTAGTATATTTAGCTTCCCCGGAATGTGTCTTACTTCGATCTTGTAACTCACTGAGTCTACCAAGGCATATAAACGTGTAACCTCCTTCAGTAAAGGCTGAGATCTTGTGCTCCCTTGGTGCTGTATGTAAGCGACCACAGTTGAGTTGTCTGTAGCGATCTTCACTGACGAGTGGTGTAGACGATTTAGCCAAGCTGTTAATGCTAGATATATCGCTCTCATTTCTAGACAATTGATGTGTAGCTCTTTGTCTTGGGAGGACCATTTCCCTTGAATGGTGGCATCGTCCATATGGGCACCCCAACCCTCTCCTGATGCATCTGTGTAGAGTTGATGTAGGGGGGTGGGGTAGTTTAGTGGAATACCTGGCATGACATTTTGGCGATTTAGCCACCAAAGGAGTTCTGAGATTCGAACTTCTGGGGGTTGGATTAGTGCTTCCAGCTCTAGATTCTTGGTGGTGTTCATCCAAATCTGGAATGGTCGTAATTGTAGCCTGCCTCTGTAGGTTAGGTCTTGGATAGATGTGAGCGTGCCTAGGCAAGACATCCACCAGCGTCTCGACTTGACGGGCTGATCGAGTGCGCTTGTAATCATGCTCTGTACTCTTGCATATCTGTCCTCTGGGGGTGCTACTATGCCCTTGTCGAAGATAAATCTTGTGCCTATGTAGGTGATGACCTGTGTGGTGCCAGCTCTGATTTTTGAGCGTGAACCAGGAAACCTAAGTTTGTGAGAAGTTGGATGAGACACACTGTGTTTAGACTGATTTGTGATTTGTCCTGATCGACCGATAGGAAGTCGTCGATATATCCATGAAGCCTTATGAGATTTAGATGGGCGAAACCAATGACGGGATTGGTGATCCTTGTGAATAACCATGGGGCGATGGATATGCCGAATGGTAGTACCCTGAACTGGTATCTCTGACCGTTGACAGCGAATCGTAGGTATCGACGATGACTTGGATGGATCGGGACGTGAAGATATGCATCTTGGAGATCTATGCTTATCATCCAGTCTGCTTGTCTTAGGGAATTCTTCAACTTCTTTATAGATTCCATCTGAAATGTGGGTGGTTTTTCCAGATAATCTTTGTTCAGAGTTTTTAGGTCTATTATTAATCTCATCTCTGAAGAATTCTTCTTCGGTACCAGGAAAACTGGGGAGTAGAATCCGAGAGAGGTGTCTGACTCCTTTAGGGTGCTGATAGCTCCTTTTGTGAGTAATTTTTGTATGGCTACTTCTGCTGCGACTAGCTTCGGTCCTGATAGCTGGAAACGGGGTCCGGTAGGATGAATGACTAGTTTTGGTCGTTTTAAGAAGTGAAGTTTGTTGCCTCTTCTTATTACTTCGAGTAACCATGAGTCGTCTGTGATGGTCTCCCAGTTGTCTGCGTACTGCATAAGACGGCCTCCGACTGGTCCCGGAATAGGATGAGATTTGAACTTGGATAGTCTTGGGTCGATGTTTGTAAGATTGGCTAGTTCGACTGGATTTGGAGTAGGCGTGTCCTTGGTCTTCCGTAATTCTAACTCGTTGTCCGTAGGGCAGGCGAAGTCGGTAGGATCTGGATGGGTCTGTAGATTTATGGTGAAGTCATTTCCGAGGGTGGCCCCTACGGGAACTGCCTCTTCCTCTGCCAAGTCCTCTCTGTGAAGTGGGAAGATCAACTCTGGAGTTCTTGTACCTGGGTTGATACGATCTGTTTCTCTGAGTAGAGGCTCGAAAAGAATTCCGATTGGGCTGTTTGCGTCGGGGTCCAGGGCTCTGTCGCTGGGGTCGAGTAACTGCCGGTTGTCTCTGTAACTTGGATGCTATCGAGATGGTGGATTCCTGAAATTTCTGGTTAGTTGACGAGATAATGGCTTCCTTCACCGATTTCAGTCTACCGTTGAAAAGCTGCGATGACGTAATGGGCTGTGACATCATGGATCTCTTTAAAGGGTCTGGCATCACATGATGAACTTGCTGTAGTAAGTGTCTTCTTTGCATGAGCAGAAACTGTGCTGACATCCATACTTGAGATAATAGGAGGTCTTCCTGCATCTTCAGTATGTGGTCTAATGAGCTGTGGATAAATCCCGTCTTCTGACTAGTCATCTCCGTGGAAGTGTCTAAGGGAAGATCATCGCTCTGGGTATACGGGGGTATGACATGGCGAATACCAGCTGCTAACCAGTTGATGTAAGAACCGGTATTAATCATTTGCTTATTGACTTTATCTAAGCTCTTGATCTGGGACATATCAATGCGCATATTGGGGTTAGGTTTCTTAACCAGATCGAAGTAATCTTCGTCAATGCTAGGCTGTAGTGTGAACGGATCATGTGTTTTGTAGGCAGATCTAATATAGATCGGCTTCTGTTTCGGACTAGGACCCGCTGAACAGTTCAACTGATTTTCAGTTCTCTTGATGACGTCATCCAAATATGACAGAGGGGGAAGCGTATGGAATGGTTCGGTCCCCTTATCGGGTCCCTCATATCCTGCCCGTTCAATCAATGGTTTAACGGGTGTACTGTCCTGGTC